TCTTGATTAAATTCCGATTATTTGAGTTGCACGTTGTCTCGATAGTAATTCATTAGTAATGCAGATATTATGGATGGTCAATTAGAATTTCGCCTTCATACCAAAATTTCTATTCTTTGTGATTCTTTGAACATTTAAATTTCAGTAGTAACTATGAAAGCTCTTGTTTGCCTCCAAAAAACAGATAAAATATTAATGGTGAAAGGGAAATTGAATAATTGCCCAAGTTGTAGGAGGAATGGATGATTCAACAAATTAAAATTAGTTGAACCTCAACCACAACCCACTAGAGTCTAGACTATCCCATGGTTCTATTTCGAAATTAATACTTGACTGAAATTATTGAAGAAATATTTTACTTTTGGGGGCCAAAAAAGAAATGGCTAACTCTAACTATACGTGTTTCATTCGCGCGTATAAAGTCCGAATTAAAGAATCACGCTTTTCACCTTGATCAGCTAATTAATTAGCAATTGCAAGTAACACTTTTAAGTTCTACTCCCTCACTCCCGTCCTTATTATAAGACATTTTGATTTTGTCTTAGGTTTAATCTAAAAAGTCTTTTTAATTGAAAAAAAAAACCTTAAAAATAACATTCGTCGTGTTCTCCTAATTATTATATAATATTTTTAAGATTTTTATTCCAATCAAAAAAACATCCTAGGCGAAATCTAAAATTCTTTATAATAAGGACCGGAGGGAGTATGTCACTTTCAACCTAAATATCTAACAAAAATACTACTCCCTCCATCCCATAATTATTGTCATGTTTGAGTTTTCATTTTTAGTTCAAATTATACTAAACGTGAAAACCTAAACTGGACAATAATTTTAGGACAGAGGGAGTATTTTTTATGTATAATATATAATATCTATATATACGTTTGTAAATAGCTCGCCCAAGGTCTAAACTAAATCACAAGAGACCAAGGCCATTAATTCCACAATCAAATATTTTTTTCTATTTTCTATTCCTATTAAATTTCGAAAGAGACTAGAAACCAAAAGGGGAAAAAGCTGGGCCAGTCCATGGAGGAAGTGGTAAGTAGACATGGATTTTTGTGTGCTTATGAATCTTTCTTTGGTCAAAAAGTGCATGCCACGTCCATATTTATTAACCATTACCGTAAATTAATTTCTGCCTCTGAAATGCAAATTTCAGGCGTGTTTTTAATTAGCTAAACTATATGGTGAAATACTAATCCCGGTTCATTGCTATGTTCTTTTCTTTTGAATTATTATTGTTACTATTTTATTTTATGTACGTAGGCTACTTTAACCTGAGCTGACATATTTATCATTTTTTCTATTAGTTAAAACAAAAATTCGCTGAGTTATAAAGCATGTATCCTTTCCATCCTAAAACAAAGTAGTACATTGTAATTTGTAAAGTATCAAAAAATAATAATACAATTTACATATTACAATGTAAAATTATTTTTAAGATAAAGGGAGTACAGTTTAAACCCAAAAAAAAGGACAAAAAGAGTACAATACAATATTGTTACCAAAGTGAATTGAACCGATTTAAGAATATAAATATGTTTGGATCGTTTTTTCAGTGTGTGTTTTTAGGTATTTTTTGTATTAAAAATTAAAAAATGTGTGTTGAGAATGTACGTAAAAAGGTACGCAGGGATCGGATATTTATTAATAAACTATTCTGAAAAAAAACCACCAAAAAATGTTCCAAACAGAAATTTCCCCCACTTCTTTTTCTTTTGATATCTTGCATCAAAATGGCCGCTGAGTGAACTTGTGCGTGGTAAAACTTTTTGGTGAACTTGTGTTCAGCGGTCAATTCCTAACTGAGATAAGTTAATATTTGTGGGTTAAAAGTTTAAATAAAGCTGATGCGTAGTCTATCACGTAAATAATGTACGTTAGGTAAGACAGTTAAGAGAATGCTATTAAATTCCATTAAACTTTACCAAGAATATGTTCTTCTTTTTTTTTTCTTTTCTTTTGGAAGAAATTAAATCCTGTGTTTTGTAATACATGGATCTTTTTAATTATTTTTTTTGGCTCTTTAACACTTTTCTGTCTCGAAATAAATATTGATCTTAAAAAACAATGTCATTAATTAAAAAATGTAAGAAAAAGTCAACTTAAACAACATTAATCTAACAGTTGAATAGTAGTAATATTAGAAATGTACTGCTGATCAGTTGCATGCGTTGAATTGAGTTGATCACGTACTATGTTAGCTTGGAAAAGTACACAACCTAATTGAGGAGGAGATTATGTTTAACAAATAAATAAATAAATAAAGTAAAAAAAATTATGTGTGGACTCCATTCATTTTAACTGTTCTTGAAAAAATTCTCATTTCAATCGAAACATCTCGATATTCAAATTCAGCGCCATAGTGATTACGGTGGCTCAGACGTTTCTTTATTAGGAAATTAATAAATTTGTGTGCTTTTACTTTCTTTGATTAATTTTTTCTTTTCTTCCCTCCTTTTCCAACCACGAATTCTTAAATTCTTGCAAGGCCGCAACTTGAAGATGGGGCTACAAGTAATCGAAGGAAAAAAATTTTGTGGTTGATATGGCTACATCAATTATTATATTTTAATATATACTACACTAAGAGCCACCGGAAATTGAGAAAAGTGTACAAAGAACTTATCATATATACATGATTTACATTTGTGCCAAGAATTTTCATCCCGGAAGAATATAGATCCAGAAAGTCCGAATGTAAAACACAATAATCTAATTTCATAATAAATACTCCTTCCGTTCCACAAAAATATTTCATATCGAGTTTTAAATTTTATACTATTTTTTAGTATAAATTTAAAAACTCGATGTGAATTATTTTTTTAGAACGGATGTACTACGTTAGAATTTGTCTCCACGAGGCATGAGAACTTAGAATCACTCAAATTTTCTAGTATTCCAGTGATGTGAAATTTGATACGTACAACCTGTTTGTATAGTATTCAGCTGGAATTACTTTTCATCGTAGTGACAATGAATAGTATACGTGTGGATGATAATTACCTCCACGGAAGGAAACTTGAGAAAAAGTCAACGCCTTAGATAGCTATTTGGCCACATCGTGCATAATGTGTATTCATTTGACCAACCTAATCAACGAGGTCAATCTTATTGATCAGCAACGTGTTTAATTTGCTACCTTTTCATTTATAAATTATAACTAGGTGTTTGCGCGGGCATTGCCGGACCCATTTACAATATTATGTCTTAAAATTAAATATACAAATGGTAAAAGGTTTTTCACCTTTAATTTAATTTGTTATGTTTTAAATTTTTAAAAATAATAAAAGAATCATTTATTTATATCATTAAAGTCTAATTCTATTAATATTAATTGATTGGTTATAATTAAAGTCAAGGAAAGTTAATACAATTAAAGATTGTAGAAATTAATATTTTTTCACAAAATTACGTAGTTTTTGTTGGATGAGAAACGAATGCATGAGAACACGATATGGACTATTGTTTTAATATGATATATGATGTATAGATTACTGAATAACATATGTCTATCAGTTGGTTTAGCATCATCATCTCGACAAGTGACAACAACGTTTTAGTTGACTTTTCCTTTTCCAGTAATTCCCCATTTCCGCTTAAGGCAACAAGATTATGCGCTTTGTTTTTTTGTTTTTGTTTTTGTTTTTTTTTTTTAACACTTTCTCATAATTTTATACATACATGGGTTTCAATTTTATCTTGTACTGTCAATAACACTATTATACATCTATACAAGTAAACTCTATACTTGTGCGTGTCTTTGGTTTAAACAATGTTAAAAGAAATGTTTTCACAAAAACCAATGATTTGATAGTATTAAGCCGGAATGTGCACAGTGAGTTTTGATAGAAGTATAAAAAAGAATTAGGTGGATATGTACTTAAGAGGGGAAGTGTGTGATTAAGCACTTGTACGGTTTGTACCGAGTTCTTATAATTAACTTTATAAGAAAGATTATCTTTTATGTTTTTAGTTGGTTGGTGGCTTGGTGCTACTCTCCTCTTTCTTACTATCTTTTCAATTTTTGGGTATCATTCATTTAATTTGGAATAGTCATAGTTGTGTGTGCCGAAATGGTTGAAATGAATGCATGAATAACTGTCAAAAGAACAAGTGTTAAGTTACCAAGAACCTTTTTAGATTTGATAGAAATATTAGATCAGTTTAATCATGATTCAGGTTTAAAATTCGGTATATTTGTACAAAATAAGTAAAATACTTATCAAAAAATACATTTGTTTCCTAAATAAGCCTATCCAACTCAGATAGAGATCGATCTGTTTGCAGTATGTGCACATACGTTGCAATCAGTGTATAAATTGGGGGAAAATTAATAAAAACAAAAAGGATAATACTAATAATTAAAAAAAAAAAAAGGACGCACACAAACAAACAAGTGCTGTAAAACACATATTTATTGATGAATTGCTCATTCGTAGGAACTCATGGACCATTTTAACTTTGCCCAATGCCCACTAGCGTAGATGTCTTTTCACAAGAACGTCCTGACATTTCTAAGATTATCATTTTGAATTTTCGAGATTTTAGTCAATTAGGTGAGTTAAACTAGAGTTCTTGTTTAAAAAGAATTGCAACTCTTTATTTGTACTTGTTATCCTTGATTGACTCTTTTTTAGAAAAAAAAAAAAAAATCGGTTTTAGTAGTCGAATGATGGAAAGCTAGGAGTAAAGTTTCCAAATCGTGAAGATGACTGATTGATTCATAGATTGAAAGTTATAACCATTTGTTATGTTTTAGCTAGATCATCTAATTATTTTTTATTTCATTGTCCATCATTGGACAAAATTAATTAAAAAAAAACATTTAACACGAACACGAAAAAGAAAATGTTTCCAATACGTGATCACAAAATAACAAAAATCAATAAGGAGTTCAACCCAATTAGCTATCATTTTTAATTCTTTTCACTCAAAAATTATTACCTTAATGAAAATGGAATTCCATCAATCGACAGTGATGAATTTCACTTTAGCCGTTTATCGTGTGTATATATATATACAGAGAGACTAATTAATGATGATAGTAGATCGATCTCTTTCAATCCACCAGGTAAAAATTTTAGCCATGATGACACTTTCCATGACAGAAGGATTCAGATCAAGTGCAATTCTAGAATTTTGTGATTCAGAAAATTGACCCTCAACTGGATATACTTTTCTAATGAATCCGTTCTGCAGGCCTCGTAAAGAAGCAAAATACGATCATCGAGGCAGGAAAAGAAACCAAAAAAATTCGGGGATATCAATTTCATCTATTCCATAAATTGATTAGCTATGTTTTTGAATTTTTTCTGTATAATATATACAATTGGAAGAACAAAATCAAAAAGAAAAACAAAATTGGGATGAATTAAATTTCCTCAAGCTAAAGGGTAAGAAGAAATCAAAGAAGGAGGAATGCATGGAGAATCCTTCCAACTCCTGGAGTGAAGCTTCAATATTTCTCTGACCCTTTCAAGAATTTTTGAATTGTTCTCAACTTGAAGCACAAGGCACAGTTTTGCAACAACTCCAACTTGCAACATTTCTTGAAGAACCCTAGAAGTCCCCGAATACTTGCAAACCGAAGAGATTATCCTCACTGCTCTATCACTCGCAACCTGAGAAACCCTAAGTATTTTCTTTGAAATGATAGCTAATCCGGCGCCATGCGCCAATAACTCTGCCCGGCCATCAGCGATCCTACATAGTTGATCTAACACTGTCAGGATCAGTTCACAAGCCCTTTTCTCCGAATTATCAATGAGGATCTCGATAAGGGTCGATATCGCCCCGGCCTCGACCACCTTGATCCGGTTCCTTCCCCAAGGACAAAGCTCCATTAGTAGCTTCAATGCCGCTTTGGATGCTTGTGGGGAGACTTGATCCTTCAAAACCCTAACTATTTCGACGAAAACCTCGACTTTGCAACTCATCATCTGGACCGGATCCGCCACATTGAAGGCGGATTTCATCAGCATTATGGCGTTAAGTCGGGATTGGCAATCCCCCCATCTCAAAACTTGCATTAAAGATGCCAAGAAATTTTCACTGTCTTTATCATCGCTCACTAGTTTCTTCAGATCTGAATCTGAAACATCCAGATGGTACAGAACATTGAAAGCTTCTTCCTTGATAGCATCAAACTCATCACTACTTTTCTTGATCAACAGTTCAACGAGAAAGTCAGCCGCTCCAGCCGCCTCCAGACACTTTTTATTACTTTGACTTCCTTGAGAAATGGATCTGAGCTTTTTCAAACACCTGATCTGATCATCAACTTTTGCTGATCTCTTGGCCTCATTGATCAATTTTAGAATCTGGGATTTATCCACTTGTGGCTTTGGAGTTGGAATCCGCTCAATCCCATTGGAAGAGTTGACCATACACCAAGCTTGAATCAAACGCCGGAGAGTGTGGTTTGGAGTGAGATCTTTGGTCGGAAGCTCTAGTTTTGTCATGGGACAAATGTTGTTCTTGCAAGAATACAGCCATTTCTCAATGCTCTCTCTATCATAAGTCATTCCAGTTGCAACTATAACCGGATCTCTCATTAGTTGCATTGAAATTGGACAAATGAAATGAGAAGGGATTTCAATTTCATCCATTTATTTGTTTTCCTTGCCAAGAAAGAAAAGAATCAAAGCTAAAAACTTAGAAGAAGAAAAAAAAAATGGTTGTGAAGTTTTTGAAGTAGTTTTGAGGTTGGAGAACAATAAGGCAACCAAAATGAAATAATGATAGTTGACAATTTAATGTTGTGCTTTGAAGATATGTAGTTATGGAGATTGGAGAAAATGTCCAAATGGGCAATAGCATTTATATAGTTCATGTGAAGGATGAAGAAGTAGATTTGCAACTTGATTGATTAATTTAATGTTTTGTGGAAGTCAAAACACGGAAATTCCGAGGGGGGGGGGTGAGGGGAGGATGAACAAGACAGCAAAATTTCAATATAATAATGGGAACATGATAGACTTTGTCTTGAGTGTATATACATATAGATTTGTGTGCTTACTAATAGGAGGAAACACTCAAAGGGGATGACTTTTTATGAATTCAATTTTTTGGAAATTTTTATTGATGACAAAAAAAAAGTAAGTAAAAGATGATGACTTTTGTACAATGGATTTGATTATTATAAATGTAAGAGAGGAACATGGTTGGGTAAAATTGACAGAGAGGTCGGTGTTGCTTCTGTATCGCTGTTGCATTGTCTTCCTATTGACTTGGAAAATTTGGATAATTAGTGTTGGCTCCTCTGAGTTTTGCAATATTCACAAAAAGTTCCTCCAATCATGGTAAGGATTATTGCAAAATAGGAGTAATAATAATAATAATAATAATAATAATAATAATAATAATAATAATAATTCGACCCATATAATTTACTTGCATGTTAAGAATTAATAATGACAAAAAAATAGTGAAAACAATGAGAAAAGGAGACTGTTAGTTTATAAACCACACATCAAAATGTTTTATTATAGAAATTCACCGTATATAGCGTGCGATAATTCCTTAAATGAAGTAGAAACTCTTTAATAGCTAAGAAAATATATAAATGGCCTGTGTATTTGATTAAGAATGCTTTTTTTCACACTGACTAATTGTCTATTAACAGTTTAATGTAACATTAATACTTCTAAATCGTACAGCACGTTTGTTTTGTTCATTTTACCAAATCTAACTCCATAATTAGTTTACTTTAGTTTGCCTAGCTAGTGTGAACTAAAACCAATTACACGTTACCACAAATACAAAATCTAAATGAAAATAAAGATCAAAACCTTTTAGAATTACTTAGATTAAGTTAATCATTCTTCATCAAAGCAAACAAATAAAGAGGTACTTACGTATATAATTATATATAATTAACATAAAACCTTTTGTGGTTGTGGTGGAGACAATGGGATTGATTCAACTCCTCTGACTTTCTCAATATTCTCAATTATAATTGTGAGATTGATTGGCTGTGTTCTGCTATGTTCTGTTCAATAGTCTAATTGATTAATTCGGTACCACATGCCAATTTGCAGACCGTGGGCGCCGACAGCTTATTGACATATATCCAAACTTAGTGGTGTTTTACCAGCATTTCTTGGCTGCTTCATCTGAGCTTCTCTTAGTTTAATCCTCATTTATAGCGTTTTTATTTACCTGATAATGATTTTTTTTTTTAATTCGAAAAAACAAAAAGAAGGTGGTTTGGAAGTTCATGTATCAGTTTGGAAGTTAGTGTTACTAGATTAATTAACTAATTAAGGCTTTTTTGACCTACTCAGTGTTGAACCCATTATAACTGATTAAGTTATGAATGCTTCAAAAAGTAGTAATAATATAAATTATATGTGAAGTGGTAAAAGATTTTTTCATCGTTCAAAAAATTTTCACCAACTTTCTACTTTTACTGTTTGAATTCTACATCTTTGAAACGCATAGATCGACCTTTAATTTTCTATGGTGTTCTGTATGACTGTATCATCGGTTTTCCACAGGCCAAATTATGAAATGTTTTTGTGGAATAAAATGAACTTTATACGTTTTTATGAGTTATGACTGAAATTGAAATCGATTGGTACAATATATGTTAGTAAAGTACGTATAATTGTGTAGATTATTACTAAAAGACATGTCATTTCTCTTCGTATACGCATATTTCCGTGTGATGTAACAAATTTTTGTATCACTAAATCTTAAGTGGAAAAGTAGAACATTTCTTCGAAGACGAAACTTTCTACTATAAAGCCTTGTTCCTTAAAAGAATTTTTGTTCAAATCCTTTTGAACCCATCATACAATTACATGGACAAATTAATTAAGAGGATCAAATTCATCTTTGAGACCTTGAATTTGTCACGACAATTAAGACACGATGTTGACACATAAACAAAGTTTGATAAAAATCCAAAACCTGGATCTGCTTGTAAATTACGGTGGGGGAAAATTCCGATTGAAAATGCCCAGTAAAAGCAAAAACAGGGTTGAAGAATTAATCAAGTTCAAGAAGGATTGAAAGTCTCATGTAAGACTTCTTAAACACCAAAGCCAAAATCGAATTAAATGTAACCTAGAATCTCATGCGAGACTCTCTTGGGTTTTCTTTCGCAATCTTTTTGCGATTTTAGCTCATTGAAAGTGTAACTAATAATTTTCCATCTTTCATGACAAAAATAACCAAAGGAAATAAATGAAATAGTTTCAATCCCTAAAATTGAGATTTAAAATTTGATTTGGATGTCTATTCTCCTCCCCCGAAGTTCAATGGAAGACAAATTTATATTTTCTATGTGCTAAAAAAATAGTACACACTCTAATTTAAAAATTGTATTAAGAATATTACAATTTAAAATTATAATATGAACTATTTTCTGAAATGGAGGAAATAATTCGTTTCGCCTTGCAACCTCAAATGTGGCGTTACTTAACAAAATGATTATTAGAATGGGAAACATGAGCATTCCAATGGGGAACAAGATAAATAATTTTAAGGAGACGGAAATCGTGATTGTGCTAAAGACATTCTTACTCATTCTGACATCTTACTCATTATACCTCCTATCTCTAATACCTTACCGCTTATCCCATTTCTTGTGTCTCCAAATCAGCTTCTCAAAAGAATGGAATCTAAATAGTTAATTACTCTGGGTTAGCAAATAGTAGTTCACAAATATCACCATTGTCAAGCGGATATATATGATTTTACTTGTTTTTCATTAATGTCCCTGTCAAATAAAAGAGGGAGTTTTGTTTTTTTGTTTTAATGTTTCTTTGTATATGAACAATAATGAGGTAGGAGAGTCCAAATTCCATCCATTATGTGTCCACAATCTAAAGTTTGTACTCCCTTAAGTACATTTCCTCCTATTCTTTGTGCATTTCTCTCAATTCACTCAAAATTTTAAAAATATTGAGATGAACCGATTTCCCAAGTGGAAACGATCCAATAAAAAGTTACAAAGTTCAGAGGGATCAGATGTTTTGGCTGATGAAGCGAATGTTATTGGGAGAACCATTGGAAGATGCCAGAAATCAAGCTTAGCGATTTGAAAGGAAGCAACTGGAAAGAAGATCAGACTGCAAGAGTTGTTAGATGACAAACCAAAGTGATGGAAGGCACGGATAACCTCAACATGATTCCATAACTTGAAGGAGTTGGACCAAAGTTAAAAATTTGAAGACAAATATTGCTACATTGAGAAATGAGGTAGCTAAGCAATGACTATAGTACCCTTCAATGTCTGACTTCCATGATAGAATCTAAGGGAGCTTACCACCAAATACTATTTAAAATACTTGATTAGCATGAAAGTGAGATGATATCAGAGCGATAACGAATTGAAGCAATTTCAGTTCCAATGGTAAGTCCTCCAAATGTACGTGCAGACGTTATGCCCTCATCATACAAAGAAGTGAATGATGTGCCTGCCTCACAAGCACAAGATGGGACACATCATGGATTTTTTTGGGAAAGTCATGTACTCATATCATGCTAAATCTGATATGGAGTTAAATTTGTCAGTGCGAGAATATGTCATCACTTGAAAGGTTTTAAATAATGGTTTGGCGGAAGGAAATGGTGAAGGTAAGGTTGGTCGGTTTGCTTTCAGTTATATTAAAAAATGGATAATGTAGTTTCTATCAAAAGGGGAAAAAAGAACTATAATAATTGCTTACTCCACACAATTGGGTCCAGTAATTCCGCTACAAATGGTTCGACACCCGATATCTATCCCTATGCCAACCATCATATTTCTTTCAATCCTCCATCCACCACCAATTCAACATGATCATATCTCTTTGGTCATGAACAATTCAACATCTCAGTAGTCTTTGCTATTTACATCCAAACAACTTTTTTAGGGATATTGGTTAGAAAGTAAAGTGGGGCATTCGTTTCTTCGTAGTAAATATTTCAACTAATTAAATTAATTTGTTATTTTTTTCAGAAGGAATTGATATCTTTAATAATATATAGAACATTAAAATTTCATATACGATTCTTGTGAGTTAGAAATTAAAAAATAATTTTAATCCAAAAAATCACTATCTTCCTCCCCCTGTTGCGACACGCGCCGGGAGAGGGGGGCAGGTACATGAAGAAGTAAATAGAGAGATACGTTAATGAGTTTAATCTTTCCTCAACTTTTTCTTTGTCAAACAACCTTTTGTAACAGCGGAAAAAGAATAAAAGAGGGGTTGCTAATAAGAAACCAATAAATGGTATGAGTACTAACAGTGAGACTGGAGCCGTTTGTGAATGTAGGATAATGAACTATGGTTCAGAGAACTAAAGGGTGCACGTTAAAAATTGCAACAAGAAATGAAATGAAGACTAGTTCAAATTCAGAATAAAAATGATGGTGAGGGTGAAGTAAGAGATTAGACTACTCATGTTGGACATGGAGCTCATACTTGAATGAAAGTAGATTATGAAACTCGAAGTTAATGTCATTTTTTTTTTGGGGGATGGATTAAAGAATCTAATGCTTTATTAGTATTGTTTGGTTTTAAAAAAATAAAATAAAATTCAACATAAAATCAACAAGGGCAGCATAAAGCGGAGTAAAGGATAAACAGGGGCAGAATAAAGTAAAGTAATAAGCATGACAAACGATCTGCTCTCCACAAATTTTATATCATCGGTTACAAAAAGTTTGCCAAGACACCATAAGCGCACCACATCCATAGCCAAAGGGCTCATAGAATCCTCTTAGCTTCATTGGACACCCAAGAAGATTGAGTTCTTTGGTGTTGACCCGGTCGAGGTAGAAAACAACACTAGTAATGTCATCATAAAATATCCGTAAATCACACCTCTCTCGGGTAAGTTTTTCATAGGTGATTCCATTTCTTCTCTCGGCCACTTTGAGAGCCGACTTCAATAGCTTTCTAGCGATTCCCCGCCTAGGATTAGTGCTCACAATACTCACTGCATCCTCACTAGACAGTAACTTCCACAATCCATCTGATGCAAAAAATTATGAATTGGCTATCTGGATAGACGAGAAGTGTGGTACCAAGGGTTGGGATTGCGTGGATGAGTGGTGATCTTCCAATACTGATTCAAGAAGATGCCTGGGATGATTTTCTCCGGGATCAAAGTTGGACAATTTCATGAAGACATCTCTAATACTCCTTCAAACCTTCAGGATCCCTCTAATACACCACTGAAACCTTCAGGATCCCTCTAATACACCACTGACCATTAATATGCTTATATTTTTACATATTTATTATATCTCTAATTTGATTTTTGCAATATATTTTGAGTACAAATATGTAATTTATATGATTTTATCTTTATTTGTAGGTTTCATACTCAAATGGAAGAATTGTTGAGATTTTGGACTAAATTGAAAAGAAAAAGCAACTCAAAGGGAGAATTGAAGATTTGTTAAATTGACAAGGAAGAAATTGAAGCACTTGAAGAGATGGAGGAATTTTAATTTAAATTGGCTTGAAAAAAAATAACTTTCTTATTCCTGAAGAAATAGGGTTTGAGAAAAGCCTATAAAAAGAGGATTAGGGTTTTATTTTTTGAGACAGAGAACTTGACCGAAAAAACTCACCAAAACTCACCTCCACGCACCACCACACCACCCTTCCCACGCCCAAAACATCACCTCACCACCACCTTAATCATCATCATCATCCCATCACCGAACACCTCCTTCCATCAGCCCCTTTCCACGCACAAAACTCCAAAACCAACTCCATCATCCCCCAGCCCATGCAAAATAGCACCTCATCACCTACGCACCATCATCGCCAAGAGGAGCAGCATTGGATCAATTTTCGGACTCAATTTTGTGGCTTCTCTCTCTCGGGTTTCATTGTTTTATTTATTTTTGAGATGATGTGTAGCTAAATTATTTAATCTAGGATTTTGGATGTAGCCGCCGTACTATTTAATTTAATTTAATTCGTGATTGTGACTTTTTCATTAGTTGATATTTAATATTCTTGTTTTTATTCCATGTGAGTATTTGATCACCACTTGCATGCTTTAAAGGTGTTTAACTAAAGGAACGACGGTTGAAAGTTAGCACTAGTTCGTGGGAATATTAAACTTAGATAATGAGCCACGAAAGTAGGAACACCGTCTTTGCAGCTATAGATTCTAGGATTTTTAATGTACTCTAATTAAATCATATAGTCACGACAGTAGTCATAGGGTTAGTTTGAGTAAGAGAATTATATCACGACAGTGAATAGTTCTTAAATTGGTGAATCGTTGTGAGATTAATGAAAGTCCAAAGTCACATATCTATAGATTAAATTAAACTGAATAGTCGTTTGGTGACCCAATTGCCCTAGGTTTTTCTTTTACTTATTTATATCTTTAAATAATTGATAATTGTTAGTTTTAGGTTTAGAATAGTTTAAAATTGATAAATTGTTAATCTAAATAATAATAAGAAATAATTTTAACCGGTACTTGGTAACCTTCTCTGTGAAATCAACCCTTCTTTACTACTAGTAATTGTATTAAGTAGGTAATTAATATTTGACTAGTGTGACGACGGCTTGTCAACCATAGAAACCTTGAGTTACTGCCCCTGGGTACTGAGCAAGAACTTGTTGTCTGACCTCCACATTTGTATCAACATCATGAACCGATGTCAAGCTGGAATGATGGATCTACCTTGAGGTGATCGCAGACCCATGACAGCCCTGGAATTACCAACATGAGCAAGGAATAGCACATCCCCCCAAATGACCCCCACCAAACAGCACGTCCCGCTCACAGCAAAAGCTGGTTCAAACGGGTACGAATTAACTACAATTGATCTCATGTTGTTTTCTGCATTAGCGAAGACTTGGGTCAAAAGTTCTTGGCTCATACCACCATGTTCTTGGATAAGATCTCTCAAGTTCTGAATTAGCATACGAGCAACAAATTTGGAAGCCACGTCCCGGCCATATCCATCATAGACTCCGATGAACGTAGCATGTATCCTATCATCTTCAACACGACTCATGTCTTCAAGTGAGTCATTTCCCTTCACTACCGCCATAGATATTTGGCCACAACTTACCTCCATCAGATCCTGGTTCCAAATTGTCGCTTCTTTTTCTCTAATCAGAGGATTTCTCATGGCCGTTCTCACACTACTGGCCACCTTGTTCACAAATCTAGCCATTTGCTCTCAAAAAAGTAAGACCAGCTACAGGAAATAGAATAAAAAGTTTTTAGAGAGAGAAAATGCTAAAACAGAGGATTATAGTAGTAGCATGAAACAGTGAATCTGCTACAGTCAACACACATTTCTTTTTCTATCTTTTTTTCTTTCCTTTTTTGAGTTTTGAATGTATAATAATGCACTCTTGAACTAACATAATTAATTCCTACAAAAGTTTTGTTGATAAGTTAGATCCACAGACAACTCCATCTGGAAACTACAGCAAAACGATACATGGCAAGTTAGGATCTTTATTATTCTTTCTACTAGTAAATTAGGATCAAACCCTAGCGGCCGCTTTCTTGTTTCCGGCCATCATGGCCGGAAAATCTCCACCAGCGCCCCCCACTGGGACATCGAGAACATTTGCAAGCCTTTTCCTAAAACAAAATCATCAAAACTCTTAGGGTTTGATCCCCACTGGATCAAATCCACCTCTAGAACACAAAAAAGTTCAATACTTTAATGGTATCCCGGAACTGGAATACGAAGAAGATGAATTTGAGATGCTTATTGCTCCTCATCTGATGACTCTTGTGGGAAAGTTTTCTTACGGGAGGCCAAAGATGGAAGATGTGAGGGCTGAGTTCAAGAAGATTGGTTTTAAGGGGTCTTTTGATCTAGGGCTCATGAACTCATGGCATGTACGGATCCGGTTTGAGCTTGAAGAGGATTATCAAAGATGTTGGATTGGATCTATTTGGGATATTGGTGGTTTTCCTATGAGGATGCTTAAGTGGACGCCAGGCTTTAAGTTTGAAGAAGACCCCCCAATCATTCCAATCTGGGTGTCGATGCAGGAATTGCCATTAGAATGGACACATCCATCCGTTTTGTTCTCGATGGCCAGTGCTATAGGGAAACCTCTCCAAGTAGATGCTCCCACGTTGAATCTCACCAGACCCTCCATAGCTCGTTTTGTTGTGGATATCGATTTAATAAAGGAATTGTCGAAACCTATCCGTATTGGGAAGAAAGGGAAAAAGCAAGAGTTTTTCTTTACTTATGAATATATCTCGTCTTTCTGTCAGAATTGCAACAAAATTGGGCATAAGAATACGGATTGTAGGAAGAAGACCACTTCCTCAGGTCCCGTTCAATTGGATAGCTCACAGAAAAAGCTTGAAAACAGCAAGGTAGAAAGGTGATTATGGGCGAAGTTTGTAGGGACGTTATCCCAAACTGTTAAAGGCAAGACGTCTTGGCAACGCATTGCTAAAATCAATTCAAAGGCGGTCTCACATGCTAAGGTGTTGGTTAAAGGAGGGGATCGCAGCTTTTGGTTTTATAATTTGGGATTCTGATGGGGGAAGTCCGCCCAGTCCAGATTTGACTATATATGCTTGGTTTCAAAAAGAAATGTACTTGGTTTTACGGTAGATGAGGGTTTCATAACAACTTTATGGTTTTCATGGTATTCCCCCAGTCCTTATTATAAGCATTTTGATTTTGTGCTAGATTTGACTTAGGATGTCTTTTTAATTAAAATAAAAATTTTAAAAATATTTTATATTAATTACAAGAACACAACAAATGTGAAAATATATTTTTAATATTTTTTTTCCAATTAAAAAGACATCTTAAATCAAACTTAGGACGAAATCAAAATGTCTTATAATAAGGATCAGATGGAGTATTTCATTTCTAATAATTGTGATTGGTTCAGCTTTTTGGGGCCCATTTCTTTCATTCTTTGGGCCAGTTTTCATTCCACACCAAATTGTTCGGTTTGTCTTGGCTTTGGCCTAATGAAATACTCCCTCCGGTCCTTATTATAAGGGGCATTTTGATTTCGTCCTAGGTCTCATCTAGTATGTCTTTTTAATTGAAATAAAAATCTTAAAAACATATTATAGTAATTAGGAGAACACAACGAATGTGAAAATATATTTTAAGGTTTTTTTTCAATTAAACAAACATTCTAAGTGAAACCTAATACGAAATCAAAATGCCTTATAATAAGGACTGAAGGGAGTATTTCATTAGGCCAAAGCCAAGACAAACAAACCAATTTGGTGTGGAATCAAAACTGACCAAAAGAATGAAAGAAATGGGCCCGAAAAAACTGAACCAATCACAATTATTAGAAATGAAATATTCCATCCGGTCCTTATTATAAAGTATTTTAATTTCGTCCTAGATTTGATTTAAGATGTTTTTTTAATTAGAAAAAAAATATTAAAAATATATTTTCGCATTCATTGTGTTCTCGTAATTAATATAAAATATTTTTAAAATTTTTATTTTAATTAAAAAAACATCCTAAGTCAAATCTAGCACACAATTAAAATGCTTATAATAATGACTTGGGGGAGTACCGTGAAAACCATAAAGTTGTTATGAAACCCTCATCTACCGTGAAACCAAGCACATTTCTTTCTTTTTGCAAATTACTTTTTGCAAATTACTTTTTCCAAGGAAAACAGAGCGCACGGGAACTATGAAAATCCCTTATCTTTTCCCGCCATTGAATTGTTATGTAAATTTTTTAAATAACCAAAGAATAAAAAGATAACCACAGTCAAATCACATAGTGAAGAGGAAAGGGTAACAAAAATCGAGATGGTGGCGGGTGAGGTAACTCCGGTTAAGAAGCTACGGAACAGCGTCGTCGCCATTGAACTTCCGGCTCCTGTTGGTTGGAAAAAGAAGGTTCCATCATTTCCCTCATTTCACGGCTCTTGTATGTTAGCCCTTATTTGCTTTCTGGTCCTCTATCCATGTATTTTTCATTTCGAATTTTTGGGAAAATTTAAGATGTAAAGGGTGATTTTATTTGAGTGTTTAATCTGTTTTTATGTCGGATCGTGTTCCTTTTTCTTTTTTCTTTCTTTAATTTTGTAATGTTTGGAATTCAATTTTTTTTTGTTAAATCCAGTTCGTGGCATATCCTTTGAACTTGAACGGTGTTGCTTTCCGTTTTGTGTATTAATGGAGTTTACATCTTTTGGCCTGGTGTTTGAGATCTTACTTCTTCTGAAACAGTTGAAAATTTGAACCACATATTTGAGATTATGTTTTAACAGCAGTAATACTTTCGAGCTTTGGTCTTGTTCAAGTGGCTTTAGTTCTTTAAGAGTTAGGATTCATGGAATCTCTGCACCCGGGCCAAGGCGTGCAAAGGTGGTCTTTAAAGACCACGGTGATTTTTGAAAACCATCCTGAAAAACTCAAAAATTTTGCTAAGGCATGGAAGGGTGGTCTTTGAAAATCACGTTTCAAAATTTCGGCAAACCTTTGCGGGAAAATTCGGTAACGGCTGCGGGAAAACTCGATAAACCTTAGCGGGAAAATCGGGGCCAAGGCGTGCAAGGGTAGTCTTTAAAGACCACAGTGGTCTTTGAAAATCATCCTGAAAAAATTCAAAAATTTGGCTAAGACATGAAAGGGTGGTCTTTAAAGACCACGGTGATCTTTGAAAACTACATTTCCAAAACTCGGTAAACCTTTGCGGGAAAACTCAGTAAGGGCTGCGAGAAAGTTTGGGACGAGATGCAAGAAAACTCGGTAAGCCTTTGCGGAAAAACCCGTGCGAAGGCGTGGGAGGTGGTCTTTAAAGATTATGGTGGTCTTTGAAAACCATCCTGAAAAAACTCGAAAATTTGGCTAAGGCATGAAAGGGTGGTCTTTAAAGACCACAGTGATCTTTGAAAACCACGTTTCAAAATCTCGGTAAACCTTTGCGGGAAAACTCGGTAAGCTTTTGCGGAAAAACCCGGGCCAAGGCGTGCAAGGGTGGTCTTTGAAAATCATCATGAAAAACTCGAAAAATTTGGCTAAGGCATGAAAGGGTGGTCTTTAAAGACTACGTTGGTCTTTGAAAACCACATTTCAAAATCTCGGTAAACTTTTGCGGAAAAACTTGGTAACAGTTGCGGAAAAACTCCGGACAGGATGCGGGAAAACTCGGTAAGCCTTTGCGGGAAAACCCGGACCAAGGCGTGCTGCACGACATTAACTAGGAGCTTGTAAGTCTGAAAATATGGGAACTTTTAATTTCCTTTGTTCTCGCATAGTGGGATAAAGGCTTCTTCCCATTGCATCTTTTCAAAGTTTGAAGCTTTAATGCTCTGAAAAGTGTATCTCAAGTTTTTTTTTTTGAAAAGGGTGTATCTCAAGTTGGATGTTTCAATTCAGTGGGAATGCAATAAGCTTCCCAAGTTTAGGGAAAAAAATTATATAAAGATGACAGTGTTTCTTTTGTTGTTTCTATTCTTTTTTTGGCTATAGGGAAATGGAAGGTATTTTATTGTGTGTTTTAAAGTGTTGAACTTTTTCTGTTATTCGTTAACATTTTATTTTCTTGTCTCTGTAATTTTTAAGGTCATTCCAACTATCAAAGGATCAAATGATAAGATGTTTTTCATCTCACCCTGTGGAGAAAAAATTTCTCATATGAAACAGCTGAGAAAATATCTCAAATCTCATCCTGGAGGCCCTTCATTCTCTGCTTTTGATTGGAGGCGGGGCGTAGGTACACGTATATTGCTTTAATAGATGTCCAATTATATGCAGCTTTGAAGATCTAATTTATCATGCCACTGAAATTATAGTCTGTGTGCCAATGACCATTTCAAGCTATTAGTTTCCATTTTGGTTCAAGGTATAGTTTAGTACAGTGTCGAATACTAAGAACTGCAATTTGTGTTACTGGGGAAGTGTGTCCTTGGGCTTCCATCCAAATGCTCAACCTTATAACACACCTTAGTGCATAATTTAAGTTGAAATATGGAGCTTTCTTTTAAGTCTGCAACTTTCTTTGTCATCACTTTTGTTTAGGCACCCCAAGATGTTCCCCTAGATTGAATGGGAAATCAAATGCATATGGCTCTTCTGAGAGTGATACTCAGAAAAGGCAGAAGTTGGAAAGGAGATTACTGAAAAAGGAGAAAGATGATGATGCAGATGATGATGCTGATAATGATGAATATGAAAATGCTGATATGAAAAAAGATATTACCGAAGAATTCAAAGCAGCCGCAGAAGTTATGAAGGAAGAAGTGGAGGATAGTGAAATGCAACATGATGGAAGGGAGGATATAAAGGATCCTGTCCTTAGTCACGATGATGATGCCAAGGTTGCTGAGCAAAAATCTGAAGCAGGGGAGGCAGTGATGCTGATGAAAACATGGATAAAAAAGATGGAATTCATGGAACTAACCTTCTTGATGTGAAGAATGAAGGCACGAAAAGCAGACCATCGACGTCTACTGGGTTTGAGGATAGTAAGGCCACTGCAACTGAATTCGAGGGACTGAAGTTTTATGGCATTGGCCAAGCTGATGCCATGGTTTCAAAGCAGAAATCTAAAGCAGGGGAAGTAGTGATGGAGGAGCCAGTGTTGGGTGAAGATCCGAAAGACGCAAAACAGGAAACCGAAGTAAATGATGTGGGTGAAAACATGGACAAAAGTGATGGTATTTATGGAAATAAGCTTTTTGATGCGAAGAATGTGGACACAGATAGCAGCACATGGTCGACATCCTGTGGGCTTGAGGACACTAGTAAGGTGTTCGCAATTGACTTCTCCGGACAGAAGCTTTTCAGCATTTTCCGACAGCTGTTGGGAAGTTTAAAAGTAAACAAGTGACTGAACATCAAATAGAAGATAGCGATGTTACCAAGCAAGCATCAAGTTGAAGTACTTAGATCATTTTTTTATTTTTATTTTTTTGTGGAATAGCATAGCTGTATTTTTGTGTTTTAGCGACCTACAGGATCGAATAATTCATGATTGTCAATTCGTCATCAATAGCCATAAGCTAAGTGTTATCAAGATGTTACTTATAACTGAATCCGTTCCTAGCCTTTGTTGTAAAATTATGTCTACCTGTTGGTGATTATCAGCTCTACAGTACGTACTTTGGCAAACCATTATGGGCAAATGACCAGCATGTTCGATCTGAAGTGATGAGTATAGTCTCTTTGTTGTTGTTCGACCATTATTTTTTCCAGCATTATGGAATTGGATCACTTAAAAAATGCTAGTATTCCTGCAGAATGGCTACATCCACAAAATTCCTATATGCAGAAGATGGACTTTGGAAAATGAAAAGAAAAAAAAAGTCACAGGCGTTACACTTCTTGTGCCCTCTGGAATATCCGCTCGGTTGGCGATGATGCAAATGCCCCAGCGGCTGAACATTTCCAAAGAAGGCATCATCATCAAGATCGTCACGCACTCCAAGTTCTTTGATTATGGAAGCTTGTCCATTTCGGAATTTGGCTCTATAAATAGTACCTTGGAAGAGTTTTCGAGGATCCTATGAATCCATCAGTAGCTTTCTTTATCTCTCTATAGGGGAAGCATTTAACAGAATATACAGTACCTAAAAGACTAAGCCAAGAGAACTTATTACAGTCAATAGTTATATACATGTAAGAATCACGACTAACTTTGTTTTCCGGCTTTGTTTTCCTCATGACTGACTTTGTTTTCCGGCTTCGACATAATGTAGGCGATGTTATAGATGTCTCTGTGATGATAATGATAAGTTCTATGGTATATATGTATTTGCAAAAGTCAGAGCGACATAATCGATCTCACATTGTGACATTTAGTGTTCCACCAATATTCCATTGCCATGTCTACATCTGGTAGATGTACTGTCTCTCTGCTGGCAATGATCAGTTCTATAGTATGTATTTTCACTAATCATTATGGCGACATGAAATCTGCATAATCAATCTCACATAATGAGATGAACTTTTAGTTGTGCAGCCAAATATTAGAGTGGACCTCTATTGCCCGTCTATATGCCGGTATTGTCAGAACACACGACCAAATTTCACAAAACAGGGACACATTTAAGCTTGTTTACGTTGTTTTTTCAAAGAACTAGGTATTCATGTCAATTGAAATGCAGCAGATCTCATATAAATGTATGCCAATATGACAGATGGTGACAGAAGTACGTTAGTCGCTCAATGAGTTATATAAATATAATGAAAATGAATCTGTCTTTTACAATAATCTTACAGTCAAAATCGTCTCAGGCTGTTCAGGATGAATAATCCTAAATGCTAGAATAGGCACATTACCTAAGTAGCAGGTATCTCCACCTGACAATATCAAAACTGCTGAATGAGATACGCCACTACCTAGTAGCTATAAATCCTTCCTACTACAAATTAAACCTCATCTAGGTCTGGTTTCTAATTGTTGATTGTTTTACATTGTCTGTGTTAATGTCACGTTCTAATTGTGGCTACTTTTGTCCTAAGATATCGAAGAACCTGAGAAGGGTAACTAGGTGGTTTATCTAAAGCTTCTATACACAATCTTGCAACCGATAAAAGACCTTTGAGTTCTTTGGGATTATAACTGCTACCAAGATCCGGATCAATCATCTTGTTGATTGATCTAGGGACAAGAGCTTCTTGGACCCACTGAACCAGGTCGACTCCCCCATTATCTGAGGATTGACCAGTAATAAGCTCCAAGATTAGCAAACCAAGCTGAAAGATCGAGTCATTACAACTTTGCCTTGAGGATCCTGCAATAAAAGTAGACGAGGGTCATGGCTAACAAAAGGAAAAATGGGAATATTTTACCTCAATGAGAACCCTACCTTCTTCAGAGTTTGGCTGTGTTTTTTCACTTGCAGCAGATGACAAAAGGCTAACATCAGAGAGCTGCAGACAGGACAATTGATATTTACTCAAGTTTGCTCGCATTTATCCAAATATTGACAATGCTATTTTGCAGACATCAATAAGATGACTCATCCACTAGCACGTGCCAGTCATTTTAAATACTATTTCACCCGAATCCAAATAAGAGTCTTGACTCTTGATAGAAGTAAATATAATCAAGATAAACCTTTTGAAAATGCATAGAGTTGCTAATGCAATCAAAAGAAGCTAAGGATACCTTCGCGATCAAATTCTCGTCAAGCATTATGGTACTTGAGCTGATGGAGACATGATATACTGGTGGGTCACAGAAAAAATGCAAGTATTCCTACAGAATGGTTACTTCCACAAATGAGATTCATGCCACAACAAACGAAAAACACTCATTAAAAAGACTGCAAAGCAGGTTCTTGTGGTGTTCAATGAAGATCTAGAGATGATTCGGAACTTTCTTCTTCTTGTCTTTTTATTTTTTTTTTGTGTTTATTTTTTCAATCCAGTTGGTAATTTCCTGCAATTTGATTCAGATTGTCTGCTGACTGTGGTAGGGCTAATATGCATTTACAAAGTCATTAAAAATATATATGTCAGCTTTTGTTTCAACCAGATTCAGTGGGAGGTCTCGATCATAAATGTCTAAGTTAGCCCTATAAACACAACATGAGCACGACAATAACAATGTTACATCGCCTTTATCAAGATACTACCACAACACAACTGGTCAGGATCATCTATAAGACAATTTGTACCTAATACAAGTTTTTTATCGCTACAAGTATCACTACATTCTTAAAGTTTAAGCTAGACTCTAAATAAGCAATAATCAAATCATAACTAAAATATAATTTTGGAAATAAAGGGTGATATAGTTTTCCAAAATGATTCTTCCCTACGAAATCTGTGTAAGTAATACTGCAGTGCGGTTTTGTAAAGAGAAGCAGATAATAAAAGTCAGATTAGCAACATTGTAGAATGTATTTACAAATGGGAGCGTGCAACCTTAAAACTCACCAGAGCAGCAGCGATACCAACAGCTATTTGTAGTCGTGTTCTCCAATTCAAGGGAGTCTTCAGAGGATCTGAAGATGGGTAAGAGCTTAGGAAACAAACAAGTTCAAGGAAATAATTTAGGTTCGCCTGTTGAGCTGAATACCTGAAAGGTGATCCTTCAGACTTCCTCTCTCACAATCTTCATATATCAGGAACCTAGATGAAACAAATATCCCTGAACTCCATGAGTCTTCTGGTGCAATGAAAAAGCTTTAATCACCTAAGGCTACTTTGGCAGTCAGTGATTGTTCTAGTAGGTAGCCTCATTTTTATAGCAAACATACACAACCAAAGCAAAACCAAATGAAAGAATGAGGATCTCCCTTCATTGTTGCATTAAATTCCTATATGCTGAAGAGAGACCTTATAAAAATTATGAAAAACCAAGAGAAAGCATTCCACCTCTTGTGTCCTCTGGAATATCCACTTAGAGAAGCAATATGGCGATGGTGCAAGTGCCCCAGCAGTTGAACATTTCCATAGAATGCCTCGTCATCAAGATCATCATATGCTCTAATTTCTTTAATAGTGGCAGCTTGTCCATTTTGGAATTTGGCTCTGTAAGTAGTACCCTTGGAAGAGTTTTCAAGGATCCTCTTGAATCCATCAGTGGCCTTCTTTATCTCTCTATAGGAGAAGCATTTTACAAAATACACAGAACCTAAAACATGAAGCCAAGAGAACTGATTCTAGTCAATAGTGATACATGTTACAAAATGCACAGAACCTAAGACATTAAGCCACGAGAACTGATTCTAGTCAATAGTTATACATGTAAGATATCAAAACCAATCCACAGCATTTTGCCTGCAAAAGTTAACTTAAATTACAAATAACGAGAAGTCTAGTAGCATACTAACACTTTGCCTAACATTAACTAGGACTAGGATTCAACATCCTCACACAAATTCCATCTGTCTAGTTAGAATTACAATTCATTATTGAGCTCATTAATCCAAAAACACTACTAAGCTTCCTGATTAATAGCTTTCTCGTTACACAGATTCCTTCTTGTACCTAAAGGGAGCCTTACTATCTTATTTCAGTTATAACCAAACCGTAGTTGTCGAAAAAGAAAAGTTTCAAAAACCCACCAAATTAATCACACAAAGGTGTCTATGACGTATGAACAAGTTTATCAGTGAGAAAACTATATGAAGATTTTCCAACTAAGCAAACTAACATAGATTCAACCTGCATTGTATGATATGAAATTATTAACCCCAAAACGAGCTCATTTCCAAATTGCTCAAACTATACAATGTTCAAAAATCTACAAGATCAGATTATCACATTTACCAACAACCAAAACATACACAAACAAAATTAACAGAGAATCCCATGATAAACAAAAAGAAAAAGTACAATTTGAAAGAAGGGTTTATTAAATTGATCAGGCTTTTCAGGGGCGTACCGGGTTGAGATCGGAGGTGAAGCCAAGTAAGCAACATTAGTCTGATCTTCAGGATCAAAGTATCCATTTTTCGAGCTTTTCTTCAACAACCCATGTAATAAATATTAAATAGCACTAAATCCAGAGAATGACAACAGGGCCAACAGTAATAATGAGGAACAGAGTGGCAAATTGCAACAATGGTGCTTCGTGGGGTGTTTATGATTATGGAGGTGAAAAAGGCGTTGGAGGAGAAGTGAGAAATTTCTATATTCTTCTTCATCCATAACTTCTGGCTTTCTTTTTTTTAACCGCTTTACTGAAAGCGGTATTTAATTATTCTTTTCTTTGCACTTTGTTCTCTAATGCCAAGGAAAGAATGATTTCGGTTCCCAATTTTTTACTTTTCTTCTCAAGAAAAGAGGGACAAACCGCTTCGATCTTTATCGAACATGTTCTTGAAATTTTTACTTTTGTTTAAGTTGTCCTCCAAATTCGAGCCATTTTCAGTATGGCCCAATCACTAAAAATATTGTTTTCTTGAACCCACATTTTATAAATATATCACGAAATTCAAACTGTCGACCTTTAAAATACAGACGCATAAAGGTGAACCAAAACGTTAATTTCTTTCCATTTCCTAATTTTTGTGAACATTTAAACTAAACCTACCTCCTTATGACCAAGGGATTGTACGTAAAAGAAAAAGATACATGTACATTTACATTGTTTAATTATCTAATCACGTAATTTTGAATTTCAATTTCAACCAAATATTATTTTTTTTGAAAAGAATAAATATATATATATATATATTCAACGTGTACAATCTAAATTTAAAAGCTAGAATTCCCAAAGCGTGGTTTAAAATTCAATAACTACTCACTCCACTTGTGCTATTGTAATTTTGATTTTTTAAGGAAACGAGCTAACGTTCAAGCAACGTTCAAGAGAAATATAACAATAAATGGGTCAATAACATTTTTTTTTTTGGGCCCTCTTTCATCTCAATTCTTATATACTCCCTTCATTCTAAAATAAGTGTATGTCTTACACTTTGCATATAGTTTAAGAAACTCTTAAATAAAGTAATAAAATTACTTGAATATCCTCAACCAACCCCATTATAAAATTATCCACCAATAGCATCAACTCTTTTGAGGGTAATTTTGGAAACTTCTGACAAAAAGTGCATTAAAATGTGAGAACGACACTTATTTAGAAATTTCTCTATTTTGCTAAAACGACACTTATTTTGGAATGGAGGAAGTATATAGTATAGGTATAATCAAACTAATGAAAGCTGCTAATTAAGACTTTGAGAGAATCTAATAGAATTAATCTAATTGCAATTATTATAACGTGCACGTGTTTACTATATATGGTGCACCGCTTTTGTGTTAACACGTGTTCTTATTGACAATAGCAATTAATTATTTAATAAAATTGATTATGGAAAGAATTTTAACTTATAATACTGACCATAATTTTACGTACTATTAAAGAGGAATTCCAAATACAAATCACAAATATTCAATAAAAAAACAATTATCTAATAAAATTAAGTAAGGAAATAATCCTGTAATTTTTTTTGCAAGTCCGGTAATTTTTTTTCCTACTTCAATTTTGTGTTCATACAAATATGGCATATAATTCATTTCAAAATAAAATTAATCGTGTTCATATATTCACTAATTGAAATTCATAACAATTTGGATTAGTGTTCCTCAAGATATGTATTCATACATGATAAAATTAATCAATGTTAATGTATTATTTTTTTTAACTATTTTTACTTTGTGTTTATATGTTTATTGAGTATAATTCATGACAATATTATAATTACTTGGTGTTCATCCATTCACTAATTGAAGTTCAAGATAGAATTAATCGTGTTCATACATTCATTAATTGAAATTCATAGGGGGTTAGTATTCATCAAGATTTGTGTTTATACATAATAAAATTAATCAATGTCCGTGCATTATTTTCTTTGTTTGTTTTACCATTTTTACTTTGTGTTCATATGTATATTGAGTATAATTCATAACAATGTTAGAATTACTTGTGTTCATGCATTCATTAATTGAAGTTCATAATAATTAGTTTGTTTCTAATTTGATCCATTCAAGAAAAGTTTTTTAATTATTTTTTTACTATTTCTATTTTGTGTTCATACACGAGTTTCATGTAATTCATGATAAAATAGTATAATTTGAATTTTTTGTTCATACATATATTGCATATTATTCATGATAAGGTACAATTTATCGGTGTTCATGCTTTCATTAACTAAAGTTCATAACAATTAGGTTTAGTGTGTATAAAAATTTATGTATATGAACAAGCGATCATATAATTAATCATCCGATATGTTAATTATGGAAATAATACTAGTATTTTTTACGAACATAATATTCTTTGAGATTTGAATTTCAAAATTCAAAATAAAATTATTTATTATTAATATCCCAATAAATGAGTACTGTATAAAAGTATGGGAAAAATTATGCTACCATATCTGCGGGTTTGGTTTTTATTATGAAAATAATTAAAATTTACTTTCTTTATATATGTGTTTAACACAAATCCTAAAACAAGTGTACCATATATGGTGAACCATGTTCACGATATAAATTGCCATCTACTTGTGTGAAAGAGAACTGTCTCCCATATTAGTGAATGTCAGTTCCATAATAATTGGTTCTTTAAGAGAAAAAAAAAAATCAAATCAATGAAAATTTGAATGAGATAATGTAATGAAAAATGCAACATAGTAAATCGAGGGGACCTTCAAACCAAAAATGATTCTCTTATTTATCTAACCTCATTTTCTAGTTGAGTAGTAACTAGTATAGTTTGTATTATAATTGTCTAGAGTAAAGTCGGAAGAGTAAAAATGTAAACAGCAATCACATTATGATATTATAAATCCAAAATCCCCCTAATTAGACAAGTTCAAGTCCATCATCTTGCGACCTAGGCTCAAAAGAACAGCTAAGTTGGTGACTTCATCATCATTCTCTGGATTGATTCCATACTTCAATTCTCGTTTGGTTCTAGGTCGGCTAATGGCATTCTTGTACGCTTGTCCAAAACATGGACTCTCATTCTCCTTAGCGAACCAAGATTCCCAAGCAAAGTACTGAACAGGAGGTATTCTCACATACCTTAAGATCCTCAAATTCATTGGAAGAACATTGTGTCCCACATTGTACGGCTTCAGCATCATGTCGCAAGCGAATTCTCTTATTTTTGCCAGCAAATGATCCCCCGCGTCCCCAAGCACTCTTAAATCTTCTTCTAGATGTATGTCTACAAAGAAAATGTCGCGATACAAGTCGAAGGGAATGTTCATCTCGCGAAGCAAGAGGGTTATTGTTAGTAGAGAGTCCGTAGGTGAAGTCAATTGGCTACAGGGGATAGTGAATTTCCGGGTCAGGTTTAGGCCCTCGAGATGTTGAGATCCCATGTTTGTTTCATTATCTGGGTAGTAATAAACTGTAACATTGGTTTCGATCACGAAGAATTTCGGGTCCGATGATGATGATGATGATTGCGTTGGGTATTCTTCTTGTGATGCTACTGCAGCTACTTTGTAGTCCGTGTGGAAGTTCAAGGGAGGCAACCATCTTGGTTGCGACATCTCCTTTTTGTTCAATGATCAATCAACCACTTGGGAAAATTTGTACTCTTAAACTTACGACAATCGTGTTGAAGAATTAAATTGTCGATTTAAACTAAGAAACAACTGTAACTAGTTTAATTTGATGGCTCTGTATATTTATATATGTAGGCAAAATTTTGATTCGTATTCTCAGATGGATTAGGCGGACTGTAAGAATCGATTCAAAGTAGAAAATGGTTTTGTTGGCATCTCACAGTTCCGTTCTGATTCTTCCAGGACAATGTTGCTTTTTCTATTCCGGCAAAAGCTCAAGAGCAGGTGTGTTTGAATATCAACAGAGCTTCAAACGAGCATGAACCCTACTGTGAACTGTTGGAAATCCACAGAACAAACTAGGAACTTCAATTATATTTCCCACATAACGGGGTTCCATGATAGAAATCGCACTATTGCTTTATATTATACTGTCAAAATCTCAGGAAAAGGCATACAAATGTAAGGAAGGCGCAATCATATGCATTCTTCCAAGGATGAAGCACTTTGAATAAGAATATTGTCACACTCAGAATCAGTCGTCATCATCGCAGCAAAGTTTCTCGTACTCATGTCCAGAAATCTCTTTCCTGACTATTACTGCTGAGCACATTGCACCCGCTGGGCTCCACCATGCATATCATCATCCTCATCGTATGCCTCTTGCTGAGCAGCTGCTTGTCTTCTCCTCATCTCCTCTTCAATGTTGACATCATGCATAGTTGTCTCTTCACATTCATCCAGCTCCATGTCGGTCAGCTGTGATTGTGGCCTTGGTGGAAGGACTGCTTCCAATGACTTAACCTGTTCCGGGCTAAGGGAATCTGGGAACTCCACAGTGAAATGAATGTACAGTTTCCCGCGCATGAAAGGCCTTTGGTACATGGGCATTCCTTCATCATCTATAGCCTTGAATTGATCTGCAAGTTAAAGACAACCAACCACACAGACATCAACATCAGTCAAGGATCACCTCCATAACATAGTTCCAGCATAAAATAGTTCGATAAAGTAACAGAAGCGCATGGGAGGGGCACAAAAACTAACCAGGTTTGATAACTTCTCCAGGTTTTGATTTAATAAGAAGTTGTCTGCCGTCCAGGTGAGTCAGCACAAACTGGAAGCCACAAAGAGCCTCTGTGAGAGACAGTGTATGCTCCACGAACAAGTCATCGTGCTTTCTTTTAAATTTTGGATGCTCTTTCTGCTGGAGGACAAAAACTATATCCCCAGTCACAGTTTCAGGCTGCATACCAAAAATAAGTAGTTCATAAGTTAGTTCTCACAAAACCACCACAGCTCCGACGTCCTAGTGAATCACAAATGTCACAAATGCTTACCGCCTCATCTGCCTCTCCTGGGAAGGTAATCTTCTGCCCATTCTGCATGCCCTTCTCAACAACAACTTCCAAGACTTTCTTCTCAGGAACTACCTTTTCACCTTTGCATTGAGGACAGCGGTCCTTGTCACTAATTGTCTCCCCAGTTCCTTTGCATTCATTGCAGGGGTGCTGCATTTGCTGAATCATGCCAGGACCTAGCTGTCGAATGGTTACCTTCATGCCAGTACCTTGACAACCAGAACACTTCATTGAAGCTCCAGATTTCGATCCTTTCCTGCCAGATTTTTAACAAAACATAACAATGTCAAACACCAAAACCAGCATTCATACACTAAAGATGATTAATTGAACTATCTCCTTACAAAAAAGCACCGTAGGACTTACCCACTACATTTCGAACAAATTTTATTGCGAGACAAAGAGAGCTTCTTAGTGGTTCCACTGTAAAGGTCTTCCAAGGATACCTTTAAAGGGTGAACTACATCATCACCCTTCCTCTGCCTTCGTCCCCTGCTACTACCTCCTATAAACCAGAAAAAACACCATGCATGATTAGCATTTCAAAGGCATACACACTGTATCTTTTTCTTCTTGTATTTAGACCATGGTAAAACATCTCACCTCCAAATGGACCCCCACCAAAGAAAGACTGGAAGATATCAAATGGGTCATGCATACCACCACCTCCCATTCCTTCCTTGAGACCATCTTCTCCATATTGGTCATAAATCTCACGTTTCTCAGGATCACTCAAGACCTCGTACGCTTGAGCAAGCTCCTTGAACTGAAAAAATCACATCATGTCAACAACTGTATATCTAGGTACTAGACTTTGACACAAAGAGACACTCATTCTGACTACATAGCCTAACAACAAAGGAAATGTGCTGTTAACTGATTCCACACACACATATCCAATGTGACAATCATTTACTAGGATTAAATATCAATGGTAAGTAAACAAGACATCAAACGCAGACTGAAACAATGCAGACTGAAATAGCTAACTGCAACACATAAATAGGTAACAGGATTACTCACACGCAATATTCCAAAACTAATATCACAAAAACCTCAATCTCACCCATTCAAATCCTCTGTTTCAACCTAGGAATGGCATCGCAACAATTAAGCATCAAAAAAAAGTTCAAAACAACGACCGCCAAGACATCAAAATTTAAAGAAACTAACAGCTCAACATGGAAAAAAGATGCAAACTTCCGACCACCACCCAATCAGTGGTCTCTGAATCAATCACCAAACAAAAGAATAAATATTCCAAAACAATCGAGCTAAACTGATTGAATTCAGTTTTACCATTAAGCAAAACAATTTTTTACAACCCCGATCTCCCCAAGAAACAAACTAAACACCGCATTTCAGCACAATTTAAGGGGCCAAAAAAAAAAAAACAAAACAACAGCACAATCCAATACAAGAGGACGATGTCAAACTAGATCCAAAAACACAACCAAAATCAAATCTTGAAACCAATCTAACAATCCCAGAAAAAAATAAACAAAACCACCCACAGATTAAGTGGTAAATACCTTCTCAGGGTCACCTCCCTTGTCGGGATGATTCTTAATGGCGGCTTTCTTGTAAGCTTTCTTTAGATCGTCCTGCGAGGCATTCTTCGGCACACCAAGAATCTCATAATACTTTGAATTATCGCTCTTCTTAGGTGCCCCCCTCCCAAACATCTTTACTACCTCAAATTAATTGTTTTTTCCGAGATTTCTTTCGTTGTTTATTTCAAAGACAAACTTCGGACGGAATCGATTAAAGAAAGTACGCAATGAAGGTGTGTGTGTGCAGAAGGTGAAGAACCAGAGTCCTAGAGAAATAATCTATTTCGTGCCTAATTGAATTTATATATTAAAGGGTGAATACCCGGTTGAGATTTAATCCTAGATGCTTTTGGGTTTGGGGGAATAATTGAGAAGGATCTAGAATCGTCCGTCTCACTCCAGAATGGTTTTTAGGAGCTATTCTCAGCCGTTGATTAGATTGTCAAATAAGCGCTTCAGATTTGTTACTGGTCTAGAGGATTCTACCTAGAAAGCGTGGAGAAGGTTCACATGTGCTTCGCGTTTTCTTTGTTTATGCTAAGAAGCTTGGTCAAAGTCGCGTTTGGTGGAAATTGGGAAATTATAAATATTTCTATCGATTTTTTTTTCCTAGGCTTGTGTTTGATAAACGCATTCAACACTTTTACTTAGGGTCTGTTTGGTTGCAAGGGATTTTGGTCTGGAAAGTAATCTAATTCCTTATTTTTAAATTTCAGTGTTTGTTTTGCATAGGAAAGTAATCATTTTCTGAATTCTTAAATTTCTTTGTTTGTTTACTTTTGGGGAAAAAGAATCCTGAAATCAAGGAAAATAAACATAATTTTCCTAGATTATGATTCCTCACCTTGAAGGTGTTATTGTAATTCTCATCTTTTAGGATTTTAACATTTATTCACTTTTTATTCTCTATAACTTTTTTTTAATCGTCATTTTCATATCATTCATATTTATTTATTTTTTCTTAATCTAATTTATTTATATATATAATTTTTAATTTTTTTTTTTGCAATTTGATTGATTATCTTTTACATTATTAATTGACAAAATATTTAATTGGTCACCTAAAAACTAGACACTTTATCAAATTAATTTTTTTAATAAATAAAAGATAGGACTTGGACTATGCTAGGAGTAAAAATGAGAAAAATAACTTTTAAATATTTCTTTAAAGTATATCACAACATTGTAGAAATAATTTTTTAAAAATACTGTAATACTTATAAGATAGTTTTAACTTCTGATAATAACATAGTCATTGTAAATAAATTTAACACTCAAAAACTCATGTCTATCATATTAAATAAAATTTAAATTTAATTAATCTAATTCAAAATTGAATCATCTTTGATGGATTATAAATTCAAACATTCAAACACACATACACGTATATATAGAGTTAATGTACTAGTAGACGGCGTTACACTTTGAGCATATCTTCTCGAGATTGTGAATTGAATTTCATAAAGAATATTTTGGGGGCTTATAGACTAAAGAAAATATGTAACCAAACAAAAGAAAATATTTAAATTATTCAGAATCATATTCTTAGGAATCACAAAGTAAAGTAAAGTATTAATTTTCCTCAGAATTAAAATCTCAGGAAAATAAACATAATTAAAATCTATTGGGTATGATTGACGACGATGGCAAACATTTGGGTAGGAACGATATTTTTTCTCATTCACTGTGACACAATTTAATTACTCTCTATAAATTATATAATTTGTGCTAATACATATACCATAGGCACATATTTCAATGTAGATAATTTTCATATTTTTATTTTTTTTTTATATGAACGTTTTATTTTTTATGAAATTTGACTATTTTTATTGAATTTTTTAACTATGAAAATTAAAATAAATAATGCCTAACCCAAAAAAAGTGAACCTTTAGTCCTAAAATCTATAAGTGCGAAAGTGATTGTGAATGATATATGTATTGATACAAATTATATAATTTATAAGGAGTAATTGGATTGTGTCAGAGTGAGTGTTACAATAAAGTGGCACAGAGGATCATGTGCCGTGTTAATCTCATGTGAAATGTTAAGAGAGTGGCACAAACTTATGTCACAAGAGACCCTCACCCCTAACGTGATAGTGTCATAGAGGATCCAATTCCGTTAACAACATATTTCCTTGCCAATCATCTAACAAGGGCCATATCGAGTGAAACACAAAATTGTCACAAAAGATCAATTCATCAACTTATTGTCTTCTTGTTTTATTATTTATGAGTTGGGCCTTGTTTGATATTGGGTTGGTTAACACATAACACTTTGAGTTAAAAAAAAAATAAAAATTCTTTGTCTCAAAATGAGTGTATATTTATATTAAAAATAAAAATCTTAACCTGCATTTCGCGAAACAAAAGGAACATATTATAAGAAAAAACGCTATAATTCATCGAATTAGTCACCCTTGACAATGCACTAATTCATAAACGAGCATAAAAAATTGTGTTGACTATCAAGTTGGCCTACGGACTAAACTGCATAAATGGTCCCTACATTTGGTCAAATTTATTTATTTTTTACTAGAACAAAAAAAGGCAGAAAAATTGACTGAGATGTGGGACCCACGAATGGGGGAAGTAAAAAACTTTAAAATTATTTTAATCTTTTTTTATATTATTTATATTATTTAATTTTTTTATAAAATATTTTTTAATATTTTATTATTAACATAATTTTTTATTTATGATTTTGAATGTAGTATTTCAAAAATACCCTTGAATTGGGATTGGTCAACGGTCGCCGTGACGAAAAACGTAAAATAATATATAAAGACTCACTCCATATACATGTTGCTGTAAGGGACCAAAATTGAAATTTATCTAAATGTAAAGAACCATTTATGCATATTAGTCTTGCCTATAATATGTACTTATTTCTCTGTAATCTGTACTCTGAATCCTATATACTCACAAAAGACTACAGTGCATATATAATTATTTTGTTTTGTGTTTTATTTCAATGTACCCCTGCAAGCTAACAAATTCAGAAAAGAATTCTAATTTTTTAAAAAAGAAACCATACCTGCAATTCGTTAACAACGGATACCTATATAATTAGACTTACTTGTTGTAGTAATCTAACATGAAAAAAAAAATATAAATTATAAATATAATTTTTTATTTTTATTTTTTGAAGGATTCCAAACTTGAGCTGCTTGTTGTACAGCAAATGAACAGGCTATTGCTTCTACCAAAAAAAAAATATGTTCATTGGTAAACCAAATATGAATTTTTACGTCGCGACAATGATACTCGCGGTTACCAAAATTGTGATTAGTTTTACTAAATCATTCAATCAGTGCAACAACGTAAAATGATTTGATTTGGAATTAGATGAAGATAATAATAGTAGTTCGTACAGGCCCAGGCACTGTTTGGTTGGTTTTGTCAGAATTGTTCATTTATTAATATACACATATATATATATATATATATTTTTTAATTTTAAACCAAAAAAAAAAAGCTAAAAATATACATTAAAAAACGATCCAAGTATTTTCGGGGTTCATGGGCCAAGCTGCCGTGACTCCGCCGTTTAGTGTCTATGCCGACGGAGGAGGAAAAGTTGCATCATTGCGGAATGTGGATGACGGAGCCTAAGAGAATAGAGGCTTTTGTGGCGTCGACGGAAACTCAATCAGAGTGGGACCCAGGAGGGGTGAAATCCCCGTGATTGACTCTTGGATGCCTCTAATGAAATTGACAACATTTTGACAACGACTCCACCTCTTCATTGATCCACGCCGTCATTCTTCGACTTACCACCAAATTTCCCCCCCCGCGAGGGGTTTAAAAAACAGAAAAAAAAAATAAAAATAAAAATAAAAAGTTTCACAATTATCTTTTTTATTTTTATTTTTTTTAATTATTAAATGATTGTCTCTTTAGTTTACGTGTAAAGTCTAAAGTGATTCATATTTTTAAATGAAGGGAGTAATAAGTTAAAACAAACATTATATTCCCTCCGTCCCATAATTATTGTCAAGTTTGAGTTTCCATTTTTAGTTCAAATTATACTAAAACTGAAATCTCAAATTGGACAATAATGATGGGACGGAGGGAGTATAAATTTTCATAATCAAAACCTTTAGTACATAACTTACTCTATATTAAATGACGGTACTATGTTGCAACAAATCAATGTGCTAATTGATGAAAAAGATAATGGGATGAAGGGCACTAATTTGAATCCGCTAGTCAAACAAACCTTAAATGACTAGTCAAAGAAATATAAAACCTTTAATTAATTCAGCATGCATTGATCTAGTCAAGACTTATGGGTGGATATGCTGAAATGAGAAAAAAAGCAATGTAGTTAAATGATACTAGCGTAATGAAGCGCTTTTTTTTTTTTTTTTCTTTATATCAAGCTTTTACGTATATATAATAGTGTATTCGTTAGAGTTGAAAATTATATTAAAGAAAGTAAGAAGAACGTTATAAGCTATAACTCTACAATTTGCAAAATTCGAAATGTCATCTTTTCGAATAAACACAAACGTATCGTTACACTACATTTAAATGTTGTAACTATCCTAAAGCTAACTCAAATTTAACATGTGCTAGTTGTGCAACAATATATCCTTGTAAGTGAAAGGTTTTAATCACTCCCTTTCATACAACTTTCGGAGTTATGGGTCAAAATGACACCAAAGACATTGAAATTACTTCTACATATGCATCATCCATGCTGATTTTATTTATTTATTTATTTTTTGTTTTTTTAACTTTTCTCACGTTTGAACCTTTGTTCTTTTTACAAAACCATGAAGAATATATTCCAAAACGTAAAAAAGTTTTAAACCCCCCTGATGGATTTTCAAATTCCTTACATTTGGAACAGTGAATTAACTGCCCCCCAAATTTTTATTCACAACATGAAAAAGACTGTAATAATTGTCAGAAAAACCTTTTTTCATTAAAGAAATCAAACCTTGTCTGATGGCAGCAAATGACGTTGACCATCTGCTGACCTTTTCTTTGGCTTGAGTTTGTGAAAGTTTTTAACTGAGGAGAGTGTGAGGAGACAGAAAACTGTACAAAAATCATTAAAATTTTGAGAGTAGGTTAGACTTCTTGTTGTACTAGTAGTAGTGTCCTCTGCCTCCCATCAGAAACCCAAAAATCAAGAGAAATTTCCTTTCACACACACACACACACAGATGATGATGATGATGATTGATATTTAGTCACTCCTAACATTCCCTTTTTCTCCAACCCAGAAAAAGAGAATCTTTTTCTCTTTAGCATGTTTTTAGCAGTTTTGAAGAACAACCCATCATTTTTACTGGAGGTAAACAAAAGGGTTCCTTTGTTTTTTGTTGAATGTGCGCGCTGTCAGTTCAATTCAGCCCTTTTGTAGCAGAAACCTACCCATTTGAACATGTTATTGAGTGATCTATAGATCTGCATTTTCCTCATTTGCTGAATTGTTTTTTACTGGGCTACCACAACTTAGCTGGAAGAGAGGGAAGCCATTGTTTTTGTCTTCTTCTGGCGGGATATTTCGGGTTTGGGTGATTGAGTACATAACTGAGCTGGCGTGGTTTCGAAAGTTTGAAACTTCCATTGAATTTTCATCACTTGCTGCAACAGATGCTGTGATTCTGGATGAGGGCTGTTTTGGTGTACTTCACAAGTTGAGAGGTACTTCAGCTAACTGATTGGATTTTTGTGAATTTATTCGGTAGTTGGAATTAGTTTAATCGGGTTATGTCATCCTCTCCAATTTAGGAAATTGAGCTAATTCACTTTTTGGGGTTCCTTATTTCATTAGCTGAGCTGTTTGACACTGTTGAAAATAGCTGTTTTTGTTCTTCATGATAATTGGGAAAGGACATTTGCATCATCTATGACCTAATTGTTCCTTATCTTGCGAATGTTAAAAGATCTCTGTTCATTACATTGTTACATGTAAAACTTCAGTTCTCTTTTCAATTTTCCATTTAGGAGTTAAGGTTGTTCTGCTCCCCTAGGACTTCTCAGGTAGTGCTAGTATTGCAAAACCTACATTTTTCCAGTTCTGTACTAATGTTGTAGGACACAGTCTCCCCTGCAAGTTGTTGCTTTGAGATGGTAAAAGTTTTCCAAGTTCATGGTTAGAATTTTATGGGACGGATTATAATTTTGTCATCTGCATTACTTGTAGTTGATGGGAAGTCAGTGTAATGTATCAACTATTCCGTGGTCATCCATGAGGGGTTTTGCTTTAGCCACTTTGTTTTCTCTTCACTTTCACTGCTATATAGTTTTCAGTTTATGGGTGTAATTTAAAGGATGGACTGAAATGTGGAAATTATCGAGGTGTGAATGACACTGAACTTGAAAAAGCGAGCTTCATATTTGTATTTTGACTGAACTATTGGTTGAAAGTTGCAATATTCTGGTTTGATTAAAATAGCCCTTGAGATGAGAATAATGTGCTTCCTGAATTTTCTGCAGGTGAAAATCATATGATACTTTGATTGGTAATGTTTGTGTCCGAAAAAAGAATTTATCAAGTTAAAGTCGTTATTTGACATTCCAACTGAAAGCTCGATTTCGCCTGTTATACACAACCTTGCTCCTCTGTTGATAGATTGTTAATTGTGTCCTTTAACTGTTTTTTTAAAATGTCAATAAGAAATTCAGAGCCAACTGTGATTTGCTTTCTAAAGTGCCTGAAGAAATTGGAAGTACTTGAAAATTTAGGCACTTCTGTTTTGTGGGCATGCTAAAAGAAAGCTGAGAAGGAGCTCATGTTACAACTTACAACAAGGACCAGCCAAAATGATCGTCACTTGTGCCATTCTCTTGCATCTATCAGATATTCTTTCTGAAAGCGCTTTCATGCTTTCTCTTATCATAAAATACGAGCTTCTTGTCAAAAGATTTTCTCCTAATACTCGATCATCCTTCAAATATCTTGCTAAGAAGGAAATGTAAACAACCAGTAAAGTGCATCAGAAGTATACGAGAGAGGCACCTCGCGAGCCGGGTTTTTAGAAATGAGGCCTTTCACATTTTGTTGCATTTCTTCTGTATGTTTGACCCTACTTATACTTGCTGAGATACATTGTGCTGTCTTAAGAGAGTGGTTGAATTCGAATTCGCTTTTTTTTTTTTTTTTTATATAGTAGTCTGTATCCTCAGGTGGCTACAGACCTACTGAACCGTTGATGGTTTCTTGATCCAGATTGACGTTTAAACAGCTAAAAGAATGGGTGTATCCGGGAAGTGGATAAGAGCTCTGGTTGGCTCCAAGAAGCAAGATAAATCTCAATCGTCAGAGAAGGATGGAAATGTAAGTATTTCTAAATCTTCAGGTGTGTTCTTGGCAGTAGCCAGTAGTAGTGGAAGGTAATTCTGTAAAAAACAATTTATGTTCTTCCTCTCTCGTCTTTTCAACTAGCCCGCTGGCTTGTTTCAACATCATTCAGAGAAAAATAGAAAATATATGTGAAAAGTAAAACTTGGAAATGAAACATAAATTATGATGTTTAATCTTGAAGTTTTGACACTTCATCTGCAGTCATTTTAGTTTTAACTTCAAATTGCAGTCCGTTTACCTGCTAACATTTACGAATCCCTTAAATTTTCAAATGTTACAGAGGACTGGAACACCTGGAAAGTTTTGGCATCGGAGAAAGCACTCTGTTGAAATTGAAAGCAACATACTTCAGGTTGAATTAGAACATGATAATGCATTATCAGCTGATGATGCCAACTATCCTTCAATTTCAGATGCTACTGGAACAACTTCCAGTTCAGTTCAACCCACAGATGTGGTTCAAGTTGAAAACAGTAGAGAAGAATGGGCAGCTATTTGCATCCAAACAGCTTTTAGAGGATTTTTGGTAATGTTTCCATGCTTTGTGTTGTTGTTCTTGTGTCTGAGGGGTTGGGTGCACATGTTGGAAGAGAGAAAAACGAAGGGGGAGGGGGGTCTTGCCTTCTGCATAATTCTATCTATACATCTTCTGCGTGTTTCTGTACCACATTGTGGTGTCTGTCACTGGAACCACCCCATTTCTGGTAAATGAGTGGTTGACAGACTAGAGCATGGTAACCTACTATGAATATATGGGACTTTACCTTGAAAAGATTTACCGTATTGGTAGTGAACCGGTTTATTGCAGATCACTCGTACGCAACTTCCCTGTAGTGTTTATCTTTCGTACTTCCATAGCTTATGAGACATTTATGTTTTACTTGATATCCCCAGGCTAGGCGAGCTCTACGTGCCTTAAAGGGACTGGTGAGACTTCAAGCCCTTGTTAGGGGCCACGCTGTACGCAAGCAAGCTGCTATTACACTTCGATGTATGCAAGCTCTAGTTCGAGTGCAGGCCCGTGTGAGAGCAAGACGTGTTCGTATGGCATTGGAAAACCAAACAGTCCAACAGAAACTGCAACAACAACTTGAACATGATGCCCGTGTTAGGGAAATTGAAGTAAGCAACCTGTACATGCTATTGTTTCACATAACATTTATTGAATATTTGTTGATGAGTTAATTTTATCCAATCTATCTCTCCCAACATGATTGGCTGATGTATTATTTTATATCATTATCAGCTTAAAACTTCACAAGATTAGTAGTAATCTTCATATCAGACAAAAGAACCTGTCTGATTCTAACATATCAGTCAAGAGAAGAATTTAATCTTTTTGATTGTTACATCTGTTTAGGATACCCTGATATCAACTTTGTTTTGTTTACATAAATATTAACAGCCATTCATGAATTGAAACACAATCCATTTCTGTACTGGAACGTAAACTACATTACTTATCAAACATGTTTCGGTCATTCTAATGTATATTCTTTTTCAGTGAGAAATATTACCTTTTGCTCCTTTGGGTCTAAACAGGAAGGGTGGTGTGATAGTGTTGGATCTGTTGAAGATATTCAAGCGAAGTTGATAAAGAGGCAGGAGGCTGCCGCTAAGCGTGAAAGGGCCATGGCATATGCTTTGGCTCATCAGGTGCTCAATTACTCTCTGGAATGAACTTTATTACATTCTTACAGAATATTGTGATCCTAGTATTAACGTCAAAAAGTTCAGGGCATTTGAAAGAGGATATTAAATACCCTGATATCAACGTTCATGCATCCAATTTCCAAAAAGGATGGACAAAACCTTAAAAATTTGACATTGATTTCTTCCCCCTTTTTAGCTGTCCATCTGATAAAGAACCTCGTCTGGTCCTTCCTCTTCATTCTCTCTCCCTCTCTTTCTGTATCTCTTTTTCGTCTTTTTGTCTGCATAAAATCTTTAGCTCTTCTTATTTCTCTGTCATTGAGCTGTTGCAAAATAGCAAATTGATATCTGAGCCCTTTGATTATAGGTTCTTCAGTACACCTGTCACAAGTGAAGTCCAAGTCCAAGCTAGATTTATTTCACACCATCATATTCTTGTTTTATGGACATACCATCTATGCCTAGTTCTCTTTGCATTTCTTCCGCATCAAAGGCTTTTTGTGTGCCATCATATCGCAGATGATAAAGTTCAGTTTTTTTAGGCCCTCCTTCTGTCTTACTTATATCTGCCGATTATATTTCTACTGTGCTCTTATGTGATCTAAAGTGTGATTTCTTGTGTCTCAGTGGCAGGCAGGATCAAGACAGCAGGCAAATCTTGCTGGGTTTGAACCAGATAAAAGCAACTGGGGTTGGAATTGGTTGGAGAGGTGGATGGCTGTTCGACCCTGGGAAAACCGCTTTTTGGACATTAATCTAAAGGAAGGAGTGATGATTAATGGATCAGGTGATGGGAAAAGTGGTGCTAGAAGCCAGGTAAAATCAACTGGAAAGAAACCAGTTTTCCCAAGTCATCCGAAAGAAAAAACAAGCCTGCCCATCTCAAGCATAAACTCGAACCTGACAAATGAAAAGGTAGCTATACCTCAATCTGATGATCACAACTTTTCCTCAAGTATGTCAGCAACAGTGCAAGATTCAACTGCCTCAATTTCCACAAACCCTCGAGTCAAACCAGTTAATGACGACCTAGTGGAAGGTGCTGGACCTATTTCAAAGCCTACTGTTATTTCTAGGTCACACAGCAATCCTAAGGAAAGATCAACACCTTCAGATAAGCAGGGAAAGAAAAGGCTCTCTCTGCCCAGTGGTCAGTCTCTCTCTCTCTCTCTCTCTCTCTCTCATGCTGCTTGTACTAATTGTGTTGTTTCTTCCACTCCCAGCAATTAATGGGAGTGCTGCTAGATCATAGTTTTGATTCTGGGCAATAATAGCCCTTTTCTCTTCACCAGCATAACCTAGTAATCTAACTTAATGGTATATAGAACCACAATAATGGCAAAAAGTACGCCTTTTTTAGTTCGACAAGAAAAGGTATTTTGAAGGTTAGATGATGCCACCTTTTTGAGGCAAAACTTTGGAGGTTATAAGATTTCTAGTTACTCATGCAAAGAGCTTGGATTAGTAGGCACCAGATAGCTATCCCTCTCTATTTCCTCTGTAATATGTGATTTCAGAGTACCATATGATAAGACTGTCTGTTCATTTTTTATTAGGGCAAGGGCTGCAGACAAATCGACAACCAAGTAGAAATGCCGTCAAAAAGAGCCCTACTTTACAGAAGCACACTAAGTATAAACCGAATGCAAATGGGAGTAATTTAAAGTCTACAGATTCAGGTCTTGAAGCTTGAGTCTAATTCTTCAGAGAATGAAATGCAACTTTCCACTAGAGTTCCGTCTTTCGGAGTGTATGTAAATAGTGAGCCTCCTCGAACAAGATGCTACTGCAGTGCTTGAGATATATTTTATGGCGATATCATCAGTGCAGCGTTGGAAGAGAAGACTACTGGTGGTGTTGCATTGCAGGAATAAAGTCGTTTGGGACACTTCTTCAGGTGGTTGTATTGGTTAAATCATTTCGTCATCATTTTTATTTTTTTATCCGACATTATCTGTTACTCTTTCCCAATATCTCGAGTTCCGTGTGAAATCTGTTTGGTTCATGCATGATGAAGACTCTTTCAGTTCTGCTGCTATAGAAAGGTTTGTCAATTGTTCTTTCATTCTATTTATTCAAAGAGATGAAACTTGGAGAGTCGAGGCAGGTTTGTGTAAGTTGTTTGTTGTTATGCTTAACTTCTCCTACTTTCTGCAAAACTTATTAATCAGCATTGGTGAATATGCATCAGAAAACCAAACAAAATGAATCTCAGATTATGCATTTGGAAAAGCATATAGTTTGTACTAGGATGAGATATGTCAGCTCAGGAGGGGAACATGATTTTGGTTTGGCCAAGGATAGTAGGAAGGACAGTTGAGGTTGGTTCAAACGTGGGTTGTTTCTTATTATTAGTGAAATTACAGGATATCAGACACATAGACAGCTATCCCAATCAGAAGGGCATTATTATTAAATTCCAATCAAAACAATGGAGGCACGTAGCGCCCTTGAATCAGTCTTCGAGATGATTGAAGGGGAAAAACCCCGTGACAGGAATCTAGAAAGGAAAAAAAAATGTCAAAGATGGCTGTCTTTTATGTCATTGAAAAAATTTCAGGTGTCATCTGCTTTGTCTCATACTCTATGTTACTTGTGTATCTGTCTTAAGAGGGTAATCCTTTGATTGACACTTGCAAAATACATTCCGTTATGCACAAAAATTGAGATAGATGATTCCGTCTGATTATCTTTGGTCCCGTTAATCTGGCACGAAACTGATGAGTAAAGTTTCACAAAGTTTAGGGGAGGATTCCTTTGCGTATAATTTTGGGGTACGTACACACACATTTTGGCAATCGCCGAAAGAGCCCAAAAAAAAAAAAAAAAGTGCCAAAAGAAGTGTACTCTCTTCTGGACTCTTGTTCTTGATCTCACACAAATTGAAATTCTAAAAGTTAAATCCTGATCTACCCAAAAAGTCTGGTAATAAATCACAAAGAATTTTTACATGGTTGTCAAATTTGCCAATTGGTATGAAAGCAGCATTGGGGGTAAAAAGCTATTAGGACAAGATCCAATCTCACACACACACACACACACACACACACACACACACCCACACACCAAGTCAGCAACACAAATCTGACACAGAGCCCCAAACTTATGTTTACTCCCCTCCTTTTTGTTTGGTTTCTGTTTACACACAACGAATCACTACAATCTTCTTCAATCTCACCTTCATCTTCTCGTTTTCTGCAATTTTCATTTTTCACAACAGATAGAGACCAATCCCACCCAACCCCCCAAAAATCTCCACCCTCCAATATCAATCATCCAAAAAAAGGGACCCTTTTTCCCCCTTTTCTCCATATTACCCCCAAAACCTCTTCTTCTCTTTCTCTTTCTCTGTGATCAATCAATTTATTCATTCAATCTCTACAAAACCATTAAAGCCCCCATCTTCCACCACCACCAAATCCCTTTCCTTCCGCCACCAAAAACACCAACCAAAAACCCACTCAAAACTGGTAGGACTGGTTTAACCACTCTAGTCCTCCCGAGTTCACTTCTTTTCCTCCCATTTTTTCTTTCTCTCTCACACACTCACACATTGAGAGAGAAAGAGGGCCAAAAAAATGCCAATTTTCTCATACCCATCTTCACCCCTAATCCCTACCCTAACTCTGCTCCTCTCCTTGCCGATCCTCTTCTTCTTAGGCCCCAATATTCTGCCTCCCCGGCGTCTCACCATCACCGCCCCCGACGAGCTCGACGATCTTTCCCTTTTTCAGAAGGCCATAGCCCTCTCCAAATCCCAATCTGCCCCTAAATCCCACCTCCCCTCCACCAAATCCCGGCTCGGCTCCACCTCCACCTTCCGCCCCAAAATTGCTTTTATGTTCTTGACCAACTCCGATCTCCATTTTCAGCCTCTTTGGGAGGTTTTCTTCAACAAAACCCAGCCTAATTTGTACAACATCTACATCCACGCCGACCCTTCGATCAGAATCAAGCCACCGACAGGGGTTTTCGCCGATAAGATCATCCCGTCGAAGCGGACGCAACGATCGTCTCCGACCCTCATCTCCGCCGCGCGCCGCCTCCTCGCCACCGCTATGTTAGACGACCCTTTGAATGCCTATTTCGCGTTGATATCCCAGCACTGCATCCCCCTGCATTCGTTCAATTACCTTTACGGTTTTCTGTTTGATATTCACAAATTGCGCAAGAATCTAGATTACTTGAGTTACATTGAGATCCTCTCCGAATCGGAGTTTTTGTGGGATCGGTACAATGCTAGGGGTGAGAATGTGATGACCCCAGAAGTCCATTTCGATCAATTTAGAGTGGGTTCCCAATTTTTTACTCTGACCCGAAGGCACGCCTTGAAGGTGATTGAAGATAGGCGTCTGTGGAGGAAGTTTAAATTGCCTTGTATAAATGTGGAGTCTTGTTACCCTGAAGAGCATTATTTCCCTACCCTTTTATCAATGGAGGATCCAAATGGGTGTACCAAATACACATTGACGAGGGTGAATTGGACTGATAGTGTCAATGGTCATCCTCACACTTATTATCCTCCGGAGGTGTCTCCCCAGCTGATTCACACCTTAAGGGAGTCAAATTCCTCGTATTCTTACATGTTTGCGAGGAAATTTTCGCCGGATTGCTTGAATCCATTGATGGAAATGGCAGATTCAGTCATATTCAAGGACTAAGTTGCGGTAAGTTTCTGGATTTCAGCTGTGTTTTTGGGTTGTCAAAATTTGTAAATTTGGGGGTTTCTGGAGTTAACCCGGGTATGATTTTTACTGAGTTAACTGAGTTGGTGATAGGTGGTGGGGGTATCTTCCTGCAGGTGTGGGGTAGTAATGTCGCTATTGCAGCTGATCTAATCTAACCTGCCATTTGGAAATGTTGACATTTTTTTGGTGGTGGATAGTCGGTGGCTAACCTTTTTAGGTGGGAGGATGGTTTTGATGCATAGATTTTTTTGTGCTTCTGTAATTTTAATGTCATTGATGAATATGCCATTTCGAAGCAAAGGTCAATTTTTATATTTTCACTTTACTCTTTTCCCCGCAAGCAGCTCTTTTTTTACTCCCTTTTTCTTTGGAAGGTTGTTATTCTGTGTCATACCATGACCATCATATATTGTGGAGTGTTAGTCTAGAATCTAGATGGTCATTCAATAGGTGATTGTTTGTTCTAAATTTGGTAAACTGTTGCATCACATTCTTTGAAAACGTTACTTGTTTGGTCATTACTACTCCAATAAAAAAGAGGTTAAAGTTCATCCCTTTTGTGCCATAATGAAGGGTTAGATTTGCTGGTTAAGAGTATGAAACTCGGAGGCTGGATTCAGTTCTGTGTGGTTAGCTTTCTGTGATGTAAATATGACATCTTTTCCTTTTGGACAGGCATGGAGGAAAGGAAATGGACAAATATTCCGTGAACAATGTAAATCTTGTCTTGGAATACCGCATGGGAGTAAGGTTTTGAAGGGCTCTGAAAGAAGAAGGCCCTCAGCCTAAGGAACCCAAAGGAGTCGTCCAAATGAAGCATAAAGATGAGGTCTTTCAAGTAAAGTAGCCAGAAGAAGAGTATGAGTACGAGTAGGTGTATTTTGTACTTGTAATTTTTAGTATTTTTGTGTTTGACTATTCTTCTCCCTTGAAAATAATTTTGTGGTGTACATAAGATGTGGACGGATTATGGATGAATATGTAATGTGAAAAATGGAGGAAGAGAAAAAGCTTGGCCAGAGGAGGAATCAAAGAAGTCTCGAGGCCAAATTGCCCTCGCGCATTGCAGAAATGAATATATTGGATGAATCATGAATGTATCTTTTGTGTATCGGGATGATTTCCCATTGGGAAAAAAGTCATGAGGAAAGTTAAAAATTCCATGGCAAAGGAATTCGATTTTTTGGCATCACTCTCTACTCCCTTTTTACTTCTTTGTCTTTGCCTTTGTCTTGGGTTATTCCAAGTTGATGTCCTTTTCTTTTTGAGGAATGAGCTCTGGTTTGTGCAATTGTGAATTGTGTGGGTTAGTAGCACTAATATACAAGTGCAATATTTTTCATGGCTTGTTCATCCACTAATTGTAGCATTTTGTGTCAGTTCTAATAAAATTTTTACCAAATGTTCTCAAAGAAACGTTTTAGCATATTTTTGGTTATCAATCTAAAGTGCCCCTGATGCCTTCTAAAGGAATGACTCTTAATCTTTTTTGATTGAAGATTCCATCTTTCTTCCTTCATGGTTGAAATAAAGATCCAAGTTCCGTCCTTCATTATTGTTACAATACACCTCTTGAAGTCTTTATTCTTAGCTATGTTTTCAAAACGCACCGGAAGGTAAATCGTTAGTGTGATTGGATTGGTGGGTTTATCGGGTTAACGAGTTAGTTTGTTCCTCGAAACCGGTTAAAATAATATTCAAAAATTTTTTAAAAATTAATTTTTTAAGAAATATATGTAAAAAAAAATTGGTTCAATTGGTACTGGTTTCCGGTCAAACCGCAATTTTGCCTGAATTTAACTAAGTTTGACTGGATTATATAGAATCCGATTTTTTATGGAAAATCGAACCGGTCAGATTTTCGATTCTCGGGCTAACTGGTTAGACCGCCTGAACCAGTCCGGTTTTGGAAACACAGATTCTTAGTGCTAAGAATCCAACCAATTCAATCCTTCATTAGTGTTGGTGTTGCACTCATGACTCGGTTGGATTCTTCCATTTTAGGTCAAGTGGACTATCAAATAACTCAACGTTTCTTTGAGAAGATATTTTTGTATTGCTATCCTTTGAAAGGTAACCTGCCGTAACCCAACAAATTACGTAAGAAAGGTAAATCTTTCAAGGCAATTCGATTAGTTCATGTAGTGCACTATTCTCACTATTGTTTCAAAATAATTATCATTTTAGTACAATTTATAATAAAAATAAAACTATGAATTGGATAATTATTTTGAGATAGAAAGAGTACACATTACATGACACGCAAGCTCGCTTATTCTTTTCTCATGGTCATGGAACTAAGGTATATGTGACAATGACGGAAAAAAAAAAGGCGTTATCATGCTCATCGTTGATGCGTACGGTTTGCCCTATACTTGGAGGGAATCAAATTTGCATCACATTCATAGTTCGGCTTAGAAGAGTGATGCCAAGGAAGAAACAAATAAATAAATAAATAAATTCTTGAAGGCCGTATAAACCCACAATTGGTGATAAAGGGGAGTAGCACATGAGGTATATATATGTTGATTAAGTTGGATACCATTTTCAATAAGGGACAAGTATCGTTCACTTATTTTTAAGTTCAAAAAAGATTAATAAAAATAAATTCTGTTTATTTCGTTTTATATAATAAGAGAGACTAAATGTCATAATTCAACTACAACATTATCTAGATAAAAAAACAATGATAATATCGTGTTTCAGCTACGGACGTATACCAAATGATAGATGATTCAAAATCTGAAGTCTCCTGGGCTCATTGGTGCGAAGAAAATTAGTAGTCACTTGCAAAGTTCACTTGACAACCAATATGTTTCAACTCCACCCTCTAATATCTACTGAGTAGCTCTCAAGTACCCAACACTAAACCAATATCCACTCCTAGAATATCCCTCTTTGCCTTCTGTTCGTCGGATGCAAACTAAGTCTGCAACTAAAGACTCCAGCATTTGAAGTCAATTTTGTGATTATTCAGGATTCGCCTTTTACAGCAAGGATTCCTTTCTTCAACTTTGGATTTATATATATGGTTCTGGCCAAAGTATTCAACACTTTTCTTTTCTTTTACTCATTCTATGCCTGGAATTTGTACTATCTCCTCATAAAATAGTCATCTTTGGATAAGAAATTATTTTTTTAAAAATTTTTTTTTGGAAGTTACAATTCACAAATCGAGCAAGTAATATTTTCTTTAGTTCACTACTCTATGCAAACCACATATAATCGTGCCAGAAAAAAAATTGAAGTTTAAACAAATATTAAAATTAAGTGTGGATTTACAAAAAAAACGACATTTGTATATTTTAAACAAATATTAAAACGCTTCTCTTTTGTTTGATCTATCTGAATGAAGTAGGGCGCATCTGTATGTGTCGGTGGGTGCTTTATTTTTAAAGAATTTTCATTCAAAGGAAAGAAAGTTTGAAAAGAAAAAGGAAATACAAAAAAAAAAAAAAAAAGAAGAAGAAGAAGAAGAAGATGAAATCAAAGCATTTGGCACCGATATAAATTATAATTAATATTTCTTCAGCATATATACGTTGATTATTATTATAATTAAGTATGTGTAATCTGTGTGGTTCAAACATAATTGTGGGCACCATCCTTGACCATTAAGAGAAAAATAAAAAATAAAAAATAAAAAATTGATGAACCAAAGCCGCGTAATGATAAAAAGAATCTTGAAAAACTTTTTTTTTCCCCCTCTTTTTCTGCTTTGGAAAAGAATATACTACTGAATTACCTGTACCTTCCAGTTGGTGTCTTCATCTATACATTTATTTATTTATTAAGACTAATGAATATTGTCTTTATCATAATATGATTTTTGTTACTTTGGTTGATTATTTTTTAAGTGTAACAAACTAAATAATTATTTTACGATTAGAGAAAATATATATTTTAAAAAAATATAAGGCTTCCAAAATATACACATTCTAAGATAAACACATATGGTTTTATGCCGAGGTCGTAATTTCTCACTCTTACCCTTCTATCCAACAATCATATGTGTTCTTGGTGATTCACTATGTTTTACTCTTTGACTCAATAGGAGTACATGGAGTAGTAGAAACCAGACGTAATTTGGTCTAAAACTTTTCAATTAGAATTTAATAATATGTTTATTCATGCTGGATGATCAAAGAAATTTTTCTTTCCCTTTTCATTTTTTGTACCAAAAAAAAAAAAAAAAGAAAAGAAACATATTCCCCTTTGATTTTTTAGTTTTGATACCAAAAGAAAATGTTCTCGTGTTGTATGATGAGAACAAATTCTGCTCAAAGATAATTTCCCCGTTCCCCATGTTATTATATTTGTTACTCACTAAAAAAAAGTTATAAATTGAAAAATACTCCCTCCGTCCCGAAAACAAAATAATTCATATTGAGTTTTGAGTTTCGTACTATTTTTAGTATAAATTTGAAAACTCAATGTGAATTATTTTTTTAGGACGAAGGTAGTATTAATCAGTACTATGAAACAGAAGAAGCAATAATTTGGTCTAATATTTGATGATTTGGACTTTACAGACTAATTCCATCATTGAGATGACCCGATCAAAATTGGACTTAAACATCAAAACCTTCATGGACAAAAATTTATTATCTAAGGGAAGGGGACCCAAATATATAAGATTAATTGAGAGCTAGGTGATTAGGTCCAAAGAAATGGACCCTCTATATTCTTCTGGCTTATAAATTTTTCGGGTAATCATGAACTTCTTTTGGAGAAATTTTTTCGAAAGCATAAAATAAAATTAACAGCTACTTTTGGAGAATATAAACAAATCAACCAAATTGTTATTTATTTTTATTATTTTTTAAAAAGGATCGAATTGGTGTACCTACTTTTCAAGCTCTATCATTAGCTAATCAAAAAAACAAAACCATAGCTACGAAAAAGGAAACTTAGGGTCATGATAGTAAATACCAATGACAAATCATACAGATAATTTTCAGTTCGAAAATTATCATTATATTTGTTGTTACAATCATTTTAGAACAGAAAGGGTATGTCATATAAAATATTTGAAACTTGTTCTTATCAACAATATACATTGGTAATTTGATTTAAAAATAAAAAATAAATAAAGAGAGATTAAAAACATTGTCAAGTTGATTAAGGAGAAAATTTGTGATCCAATATTCTAATGCAAAGAAAAATGCCAATTATTTTTTTTTTTAATTTTAATAAAGGTAACCAGTGAAATATCCTGAACAAATAGTTGCGAGGATGTTGTTTTACTTCCTCTGAATGAAATTGTTAATATTTCTAAATTTTAATAATTAAGAAATTGTACTTTCCATTCCAATACCTCATAATGCCCACTTTTACTTTTAAGAAAATGCGTAGCTTTGTTATGGTTTTCGTGGAAATATAAATTAATATTGGAAGTTCAATATTTTGCAATTTTGATTAATTTCAATAGTCCTATTGGTTGGCCAATCATTTCTCCAACCCTGGAAAATTAAACTCTTCTTAGGTGATGTCCCCAGAAAAAAATGATTTTAGATTTGCAGCATTTACCAGAAAAAAAGAAATGTTCTAATAATTTAGTGAAATAACTCTGTACTCTGCATAAGCTGTTTAATTATAAAGTTTGCACCGTTACAGCTAAGTCTAGGTCTCAGCAGTGTTCTAAATCTGATTCTGCAACTCAAGTTTTAATCCCAAATAGTAGGAAGAAAAAAAAAAAAAGAAAAAAGAAAGAAAGAATTCTGTGGCTAACTATACACTGAGGTCAATATATCTCCATTCTCTATCTTCTTTCTAAGAAAAGCGCGCCATTTTCGATCTTTATTTATACCTTCCTAAATTGCTGTTCCCGCATATGCAACTTCCACAATCTTCCAGCTGAAAGCTCTCGTTCCTGTCTCGATATCGACAGTGGGGCTTCTCATTTCAATGAGGGTATACTGCAGATTTTCTCTGGACAAAGTCCAATCATAATCTTTAACCAGATTTGCCTAGGAAACCATGTGAACTCCGACATAGCTACTCGTGTGTGCACGAGCATGTCCGTGTATTAAGAGCTAAGGCTGCTGAAACTGATATATACAGTTCTCTGTTGCAGTGCATTGACAGCATAATCAACCTGTAAGTGTCCGACAGGCGACTTGAACCGAAGACCATATCCAAGCCCCATTCCACTTCCAGGCTTACCATGCCTCAGAGAGGGATTTCCTAATATGTTCAAACACATCATTGTTCTTACGGATACTTGCAGAAAGGGAGAAGGGGATGCAAAGAATAAATTGGTATGGAGAATGAAACTAATCATTAACTAATAAAGCAAATGTTGGTTAATAACATGTGTCAGGATCAGCTTAAAACGAACCAACCGAAATTTTACCCAAACTGATTATTGAATTCTTGGAGATCAAATTTAGGAAATAACATGTAAGCTCATATTCCAGCTTTATCTCGTCCCACTTTCTTTTCTTCTGTAGTGAAGAAAAGAAATGGGTGCATTTCTTTTTCAACTATAACAGAAAATGCGTAAAGCTGGAGCTTCACTGAGTCAGCTTTTCTATCAGTTTAATGTTGGAATGAAGTACTTTTACCCTCGGCATTGTTTAACAGAGTAAATTTAATTGGTTGCAGTCCCCTCTACAGTCTAAAGTGCAACATGGAAAACTCCAACTTTCAAGGATCAAATTATAAAAAAAAGGAATGACCAAGAAACTGGAAAATGCACGTGAACAATGGTGTTGAAACAAACCAGGCACATGGCGACCAGAACCCAAATCAGATCCACAGTCAAGGAATACAGCACCTTCAAGCATCTGGTTCTGAAATTCGAACTTAAAGCAATCAGGTTACCGATTAGGATATACTTACTAGCAACAGAAAATTTGTGAAAGGAAACTTTAATTCAAACGGTTATGGCAGGCAAGGTACCAAGTAAAATGCACAAGAAGCTCAATTTCTTTCAGAATGTAAAAGAATGAACTAAACTAGTTTTTCACACTTCCACAAAAGGAAGGAGAAATGCAAGAATATAAGCAATGTCTTATAAAGATATAAATCATCCAAATATGCTATAAAACGAAGCAGTTCTTACAACTGAAAGTATGAAACACATCGTAATAATCAGCAGGCATCTGAATAACATGAAAGGCAAACCTAGGATGTACACATGGTAATACTTTTTCACATCTAATGGCAGTATTATGGTAAATGTTCATCTAAAAAGATTAGTTATGGCAATGATCAAAAGTTTCACGTGCCATAAGATGGCGGCAAAGAATTCATCCTTTTTGGTTAGGAACTGCTGAACATTGATAATTGAGTACTAGCTGAACCTGTAATAAGGTCTGGATTTGCCCTGGAATGAATTTGTGAATTTGTCAAGTTCACTAGACCTAAGAAAATTGTGCAAACCACAGAAATGAGGAACCATAAGCTTTCCATAAGCCAGACAATTCACTGAATGTATTACCAAAATAAAAAAAAAATCTATTTCCTATATTACAAAACTCAATTTAATAATCTCCCACGACGAGTACATTTTCATAATCACTGAAGTCACAGTCCAAAATAGATTTTGCCATAGTTAAGGAACTCTGAGTTCAGATTCTTTAAGACTTAGTTGCCTTCATTGTTGCAAACAAATAAAAGTATATAATCTGCAAGAATATTCCATTACAATTGACAAATTCCAATCTTGCCACTCAGACTTCCTCATCATCTTAGGGATAACTCTAAAATCTATCTGAAGGTTATTTCCTTCGTTTATTAGCACCAGAGAAGACAAAACTACGTCCTGCTCTTTATTTGATAGAGAACTTCCGAATGACATAAAATGTATTAGTATGCCCAGTGACCTTAGAAAGCATACGCGAGCTTGGTATTTTTTGCACTCATACTGCTGGGAGGATATTCTGAAGTTAGTTTAATATGTACGAACTTCCAGGAGGTCCTAACATCTAGTTACTTGTTTTCATAATTTTCCAGCTCTTTTTTCTAGCTGCATTGTGACTGATATTAGGTAGAACATATGATACTATCTTCCCTCAAAAACTACAAACATTGTGAAAAGCTAAGCTAGAGTGTGCAAACTAATGGTAACTTATTCTCTCAAAACACATAAGAAATCCACATTATCAGCAAGCAACAACTTTGCAGGTCAAGAAGAAAGTGGCACATGACTAGCTATGGTTTTTACAGATTATAACAAAGTGTAAGACTCCATATCCTTCTGTTTTCTACTCCCAAAATCAAACTGATATCCAACCATGTAAAGTATTTGAGACTTTATCCCAAGAGGGTAAAGTATTTAGACTGAATCAAAGGCATCTATAGCTTAACAGTGAAGTTACTTCAATGCACATTCTAATAGTTTTGGTTCTTTAGAAATTGTCTCCTGCCTTCAAACACCTAAATGACACTTGTTGGCATCTGACCCAGGAAGTTAGTAGAGATACATAACCATAAAAGGTACCAGCTTGCTCTACACATTGCAAGCAAGCATACCCATCAACAATCTCAACAGCATATATTCATCTAACAACTAACCGAGGATGGATGCTGCTCTAAAAAGAAATAAGTTTTTGAAGCTCCATTTAAAGAATAAATAAAAATCTATCTAATTGGCTGACTGATATCTATCTGTCAGAATTATGTAGAGAAATGAAACTGATCTTCAAAATATGCCGAAAAACGAAAAATTTTCTCCAGGGAGTGGTCAATGCATGCCAGCTGAACAAAGAGCTTGACAAGCAAATGATTTGAGTGTGTATATAAGTTATCCAAATATTCTACTGATATAAAATAAGTGGATACCAAAGGCAAAGTGAGTTCGTTGTTGGCCACCAAACATGACCTGCCAGTCCCCACAGCACCTTCACCATATCCACGCACACTACCAAGTCCTCCAATAGCAAAAGCTTGATAGGGAGCAATGTCACCCACGATAGATCCGCCAGTAAGGCTGTTAGAAATAAATTGAGTTAGAGGTGCGAAGAGACTCTCTAAAAAATCACAAGCAAATTAAAGTAGCAGATGGTGAGGTAAGGAAACCATGAAGGTCAGTTTTTCAGGGATCTTGAGAGTCAAAGAAGCACACGATATTCAATTTAAGTTCAACTGACAAAAGGAGCTCCGGTAAGCACAAAAGTACGAAAGAGATGCCAATGAAACGTAAACTTCAAAATATATGTGCAAAAAACTATCCATCGCTCACTCTTGTAGTAACAAGCTTCTATTCAGGTTCAACATCATTATTTTCCATTCCTTACTATCATTTTGTTAAACTTGCAAACAAGCCAGTCACACTATTCTTTGGTGATTCTAATCCTCGTCATATACTTTTGACTCTAAAAGCTTCAGCCTCAATAGCAACTATAAAGCCACAATTAAGTTTTATCAAAGAAGCATCAAGAAAATTCTATTCACCTAGTTAACAGAAACGCTGGCCCAAGTCTGACTCCCTTAGACGCATTGAACTTGAACCTGTTGAAGATCAGCCACTTGGAAAGAAGAGGAATGCCTTGCTCTATTTGCAGAGTAAACTGCACAGATAACCAGCCACACTATCAGATACAACATGGAGCATCAACATTTAACTCTTGTGGAAAAATTATTGCCATTCAGAATTTAATCTTAAAAGCCAACATCAATATCTATCAATTTCAGAAGCAAAGTATATTTTACCCTTGTGAAACTTCGTTCATTGGCTTTTGCAAATCGTGATTCCTGCTTTATTACCACCATACTGTCATGATAGCCGCCACTGTAACAAAACTCATTAAAAGGCTGCAGAAAAATTAAATCAACAACTGAAAATGATCAAAGGTATTATTTTTTAGATTGCTCTACCTGCAAGTCACGGGAAACCCATGTGGATCTCTACTAATACTGTAGCCTTCATCATTCATTGGACGAACATGCTGCATTCACCAAAACATTTTAATTTCCCTCCACTGATTGAGCATTAACAGCCCACTAGTGAGAATGGTAACGCATACCTCAAACTTTATACTTGTTTTGCTGCTCCAATTGGAACTTGCAGGCTCGCTCAAATCTAAACCAGCAGAAAGGCGACATAGATTCACTCCTCCACTCCCTGAACGCGAAAAATTGTCCACAGGAACACCATGAACCCCAATTTCAGGAGAAACTGAGTGCTGCACAAACAAAATACTTCAAATAAGGTTGAGAATCAATTCAATACTCCCCTCTTCAAAATGAAATATTACAATAATCTTGCACACACAGAGATCCAAAATGCCAGAACACATATGGATAAAAATATCACAAGAGAAACAAATTCACATGAAAGCAAACTTATCAAATACATGTGCACTGTTTCTTAGTATCAGTTCCAGATAGATCAAATTGTCACAATGAACCCTCATAAAAGGCCAAAATACAGTGATTTCAATTAAAATATTTAAGCAAAGGACAAACTGAAGGAAAGATTGAAAGCAACCTGTACAACAAATGATTGTTGAGGAAGCCATTCAGGTTTAGGCTTCCTGTAAGCTATGAATATATTGGAATCATAGAGTCCTTTGTCCCACAGAACATCTAGCTTTTCACTCTTCCCGAATAAATTTGGGTGCTTTATGCAAAGACTGCAAATTGCAAAACTCAATTCAGAAACTCATTTTCCGAGCAGCTGACAACCAAGTAATAATTAACACAATTCAAAACGCGAAGACAGAAATGAATAGAAAAGCTTATCCCACTCCTTACAACTGCAGGAATAACAATATCCTTTAGTGAAAAAAAAAAAATGCTAAATTCTGAAAGCAAATGTACCTTCCAATTATTAACGAAAGAGGGCTTCCAGAATTCCTGTGAAAGATGAACCAAGACAGAAACAGACTAAACTCAAAATCAAACATGACAGCAGAAAACTAACGTCCCAAAAGGGTAGGAGGAAAAACCTTGCAGAATGCAGCATCAGGGCAGCACAAAGTTTGTGCGTAAAATCAACATTGAAGTCTATCTTGGCTGCAAACAATTCAAACATCAATAGTTTCATCACAATAAAATTACGCAGCAGGATAAATGGAAGAGGGATGAAAGCAGAACAACGAATTTCAATCAAAACATGTAAAGAAAAAATTCGTTGAAACACAGTTTCATATAAATTCTCTGCATTATCTTGATGATGGGTTTTTAGAAATTCGACAGATACAGTAATCAATCAACGAAAAAAGAATCGATGAACGTGAGTGTGTGAGTGGGTATATTACCATTGCCAGCATGAATGCTCTTCTGAGCTCCCATCCCGGTTCAATTCAAATTCCTCCACATTCAAATTCTTCCTTCAACCTCGTTTTCTTCAGTAATCAGCAATCAAAATGATGTAAAGGGTGCAAAACCTTGAAGCCGGTTGCCCATTCTAATGGCTATTCATTTTGGTACTAAAGTGAAAAAAAGATAAAAATACTCCATTATATGTGACACAGAATTTATTTCTGTTTTCCTTTTATTTTATTTTTTATTGCATTTTTACCAGGTATTATGCTATTTATTATTATTTGTTTTTTTCGTGGGACTAATTTTGGGTATATTAATGTACTGACTACTGAGGGCAGAGAGACTAATTGAGAATCTGAAGTTGGAGAAGTTGTAAGTTATCCCTCCATGCACTATTTTAGACAGGAAAACAAAAAGTTGGACTAAAAAAAATAAATAAATATTGTGACCTTATAATAAACAAAATTTTTATACTTGGTAGATGTATACTAAATATTGACATATTACAATTTATTTAACTTATTTTCAGACATTGTTCCAAAAATTATACTGATATTATATTAGCTACTCTTATAAATCTAGCACTCTTACTATGAAATTCTTGACGGCATAAGTCACATGATGCTACTTTGTGAAGATAAAGAATATATGAGCATTTTATTTATCATATTTCTTATACCTTACTTTTCAAATTCCCAAAAATTTCATTTTTTCTTTTCATCCTAATGATCTGTGAACCAAACATGCCCTAAAGAAAATAAATAATTATGATCAGGCTCACATTATTAATATTTCTTTTTGATTATTATTACAATTTGTTAATGAATAATTTATTATCCTACCGCGAAGTCTGGATATGTGTATTGACAATAATAACTTTCACATTTGAATTTCCAGAGTTCAGTACACCACCAATTATTCCTCAATCTAACAGTAGTTTGGGAACACATGCAATTTCAAGATTTTTTTTTATTATTTATTTATTTATTTTTTGTTTAACGTTTCAAAATACTACTACAAAGTTTAGACTTGATTTGGAGAATTTCTCGTCTGTCAATTTCCACAGGATAGGTGGATGAATTAGAGGACTTCATGATTCGACATTTCACAGAATAGAAACAGGATCATCCTCCAAAAGAATATATACACCTCATTTTCAAACTAGTATGTCTTGGTGTACTTCCGCTAGCATTTGTCCCAGGTCACCATGTAACGCCCCAATTATATAGGTATTTGTTCTCGCTATACCTAAAATAATTAATTCAAATTACTAGTAATCAAGGTAACAGAAATTTATAGATTATTAGTCCTTCACAACCCACCCCCCATTTGTCGATATGGGATTCATTCACGTGCTTACTTGACGTGTAAGCTTCCAATCGGCATCACAAACAAAACTTGAGTAATTTGCTGGAATCAGTTTGATTTAGGAGATGGAGTAGCACTTTTCTCCACTAATTACGAGATATAGCTATAAAAAAAGCCATGAGGGAACAGAAAAGTGATGCAAAATGGATCAATATCATTGTATATTTTCTTTTGTAGGCAATGGCATTGGTTTTCAAATGTCTTTGAATCTTGATCCCTCTTGAATCCGTCAATAATTGATGTTGCATCATTATCAAAACCCACGGTTTGATTTTGGAAATGACCCAATAGTAATATATTATTAATGCTAAAGCAAATAATTTATCCTTTCTGGTTACAAAACTTCTCTTTATCTTTTTGATAATTTAGTACTTGCTCTCAGAATATCCTGGTTGATCAGGTATTTATGTTCGTAAATATTGTCTTTTCATAGTCCTACGTACAATATAAATGGATTAATTTGAACTCTTTAGTTTCAGGTTTTTTAAGACTTCTAAGTTGGTTTCATTGGTCCCCAAATAACCACTCAAACATCCTCATCTCCTACAAAGTATACTACCTATCTTCTTAGGGTAAGTCGGACGTTTTAGATATTGAATCCTGATATGAAGTGAAACTTCATGGGTATTTTGTAAAAGTTGTTGCGAGATCACCTGGTCTTGGTGGTTTGTAATGGCTTGATATACGCTTTTCTTTATGAGTAAGTTAAATTATGACTTGAACTTAATATAATTGTGGTAACATCTCGTAATGTAACAATTTATTTGTAAAGCGTGAGTATCTTTTACTGGAAAAAAAAAAAGAAAAAAATGTCAAATATTAAATTTGATGGAACAAAAGAATAATTAACACCATCATGTTCAAGGGTTATGTCTTTTATGGGGGGAGGGGGGGATATAGTTAGATTCATTGTAAGGATTAATTAACTCATATAAATTCACAATAAAATTTCTAATTAACTTCATCGATCATTCAACAAAATTTCCAGTATTTTAATAAAAATACTTCAATGATAAAAAAAAAAAATACTAGGAGAAAAGCCATGTTGATCTGAGTTTATTGTAGTCTCTAATTAATTTAGATTGAATTTAATTAATATAAACCCCTTGAGAAAAAATTATAAACACCTTTTGAGTCAATGAGAACCCTATAACCCAGATTGTGGTGACTTGCACATCGGATTGCATTCTTACTTCTTGTTCTTTAATTACATAAAAAATGAGGACGTAACTAATTAGCATTTCTCATTTCTGACAAATGTTCAAAATTTAATTATCTATAAATCATCAATATTTTTGAAATGAATACAACACCTATCCGCGTACGCATAAGAGATTAAAATATATATAGTACTAATACAGGAAGACTACCATTTTCCTAAATGTTAAATTCATTTGGGAAGTCTGCATCACCATCCAAAAAAGAACACACACACACACAATGCCGGCAAATTTTCATCATTATTTTGTAAAAAACAAATCAGGAAATTTCATCCAAAAAAAGTAGGCAACTATCCTCATTTCTACTCCTAATTATAATTGCCACTTTTTTCTACTAATTATGAAACTGAACAATTTCGCCCGTCAAGTATAAACTATAAACCACCACATCAAAACTCCCCAAATGGGGCTTAGCTGAAAGCCCTCAAATTATTAACCAAAAGAAAAGACCTAGTGACAAAAAATTAAACCAATAAGTCATGACCTAACTTAAAACCTTAAACAAGTATATATGTATTGGATCAACCAAATTACCTTATATACTGAATTAGCGTACATATGGAATCGATCTAAAGGAATCTTGCTCCATAATAACGCCAAAAGATGATGGTGGTGCGACTTACATATTAAAGCAAGCTCACACATTGTATTAGCTAGATAGATAAACACTTCAAAATTATGTCCCTCTCTTTACTTCTTCCTACATTCCTCATTCTCACAACTTTCTTTCTCTTGACTAAATGGCTCCAAAGTAGACCTAAAAACCTCCCACCTTCACCACCAAAACTCCCCATAATTGGAAACCTTCATCAACTTGGTTACCTCCCATATCGTTCTCTTAAATCATTAGCTGAAAAATATGGTCCAATTATGTTGTTACATCTTGGCAGCAAGCCAACCCTTATCATCTCATCTCCTGAATTGGCTGAGATGATCCTCAAGACACATGATCTCGATTTTTCAAATATGCCTACACTAAAATTTCAAGGAAGAATCTCTTACAATTTCCGGACCACTCTTTTCGCGCCCTATGGCGAATACTGGAGGCAACTAAGAAGCATTTGTGTTCATCAGCTCCTGAGTAACAAGAGAGTTCAATCATTCAGAAGCGTGCGCGAAGATGAGGTCGCGTTGATGTTGGAACGGATAACAGAATCTTATTTGTCGCGCTCGCCTGTAAATCTCCGCGAGGTATTTTCCGCACTCGCTAACAACATAATATCTAGGATAGCTATAGGAAAAAGGTATTCAGGAGAGCAAAATGGGAGTAATTTTAAGAAACTATTTGAGGAAGTTTTAGAGGTAATGGGATGCTTTAATATTGGTGATTATGTTCCATGGTTGGGATGGATTAATCACCTTAACGGTTTGGAGGCAAAAGTAAATAGGGTTGCCAAAGAGCTGGATGAATATTTGGAAACTATTGTTGAAGAAGGATTGAAGAGGAAGGAGAAAATCATTAATGGTTCTGAAAGTGATCAAGAAGGGGACCAGAACCAGAAGAATCTTTTGGATGTTTTGCTGGAACTCAAAGAGAAAAAGGATACTGGACATGCTCTTCAACCTGATTCAATCAAAGCTATCATCATGGTAAAGTCTTTCTATTATTACATTATTATTACTCCGCTATAAGTCCCATAATTTTAGATCCACAAAGTGAACAATTATTATAGTTGGTTGGTTGACAATGTTTAGCTCTTAATTTAACCAATCCAAACAGAAAAGTGGATATATATAATGAGTTGCTATATATTTTATGAATTATATATATAATGAAGTTCATAATATTTTAACCATTGTTTTCAAAATTGATAAATACAAAAAGTTTAGGAACTATAATATTGTTTGGCCTAACTAATCTTGAAAGTTTATTGATTTTTAGGACATGTTTATTGGCGGGACCGACTCTACCGCGACATTATTAGAGTTGGCAATGTCTGAACTAGTGAGAAACAAAAACTCCTTGACTAAATTAAAGAATGAGGTGAGAAGCTTCGCAAATGGCACCAAATCAAATCGTGTGAAGATTACAGACGATGATTTAGAAAGTTTGCCTTTCTTAAAAGCAGTCATTAGAGAGACTTGTCGGATGCATCCTCCCGGTCCAATATTAACTCGTCGAGAATCGAAAAACGATGTTAATATTATGGGGTATGATATCCCTGCTGCCACCCGAGTGTTCATCAATGTTTTCGCCATCGGAATGGATTCAAATATATGGGAAGATGTCGATGAATTTCGACCAGAGAGATTCTTGAATAGTTCCATTGATCTTAAAGGGCAACATTTCGAGTTGATACCGTTTGGTGCTGGAAGAAGAAGTTGTCCTGGAAACGTATTCGGCTTAGCCACAGTTGGACTTGCTCTTGCGAATTTGGTTCTCAAGTTCGATTTCGGATTGCCTTGTGGAGCTAAGTTAGAGGATTTGGACATGAGTGAAGTTCCTAGCATTGTTACTAGAAGGAAGATGCCTTTGGTTCTTGAGGCAAGTCTACCTAATTGTAATTAGAATATTTGAAGTTTGCACTTAATAATTTGAATAAGGTGTCAGTCCACCTCATTTTCATAATTTTCAATTGTATTAATCAAAGAAGCATTATTTTTTAACGCATACCTCAAACTTTATATTAGATTTGCTGGTCCATTTGGAACTTACAGGCTAACAAACTCAAATGTAAACCAAAAGAAAAATGACAATGAGTGAAACGCAATCTTTCATTTTAACAATAGGTGAGAGCTCGAATTTCATTGTGAATATAGACTTATAGAGTAATCTTAAATTTTTTTACTATGATATCGAGGTACCTATAATTTAACAAGAAGAATTAGTCATTATTATGGACTAATAAACGCATTACAAATATTATAATTTAAAAAAAGACAGATTTACTCCTACACTATTCCAAGTTGTCAACTCAAAAATGGAAATTAGATCATGTTTCTAAAGGAGTAAAAAAAGAAAAAGAAAAAATATTTCAACTTCTTGTGGAGTTTTTGTTTTTGCTTTTTTTTTTCCCCCCTACTATTAAAAGTTTGTACGGATGAGAGGTAAAATAGAGAGCATTTAAAAAATGTTAGGATTTAATTGATAATTTTCTTAAAGTTCTAAGGTAGAAAAATGTAATACGCGGAATTTATGGGTGATGATGATGTAAGAGCTAACGTTAAAACCCTTTTCATCATTTTGTTTGGTCTCAATTCCCAAGTAAATTTCCGAAGTCCGAACCGCCGACCGCCTTCCAAACCTTCCTCCGCCCACCGCCGCGGCCTAGAATCTTTATATATATACACTCTTTACGCTGCCGGAAACATAAATTCATTCTATTGGAATCCAGAACTTTGACGAAGGTAAAAAGAAAGGGGAAAGAGATGGGGAAAGGAGAAAAAACTGGAATAGGAAGGGCTTTGGTGAAACACCATAATCAAATGGTTCAAGAGAGCAAAGAGAAGGGAAGGTCTTACCGGAATCAGAATAAGAAAGTTTTAGAATCCGTCACCGACGTCAATGATATCGACGCCGTTATTGAACAAGCCGACGAAGCTCACCGATTCTTCTCTGATAATCACCCGCCCGTGAGCTTCCGCGTTAGTTTGTACGTTAAACCCATTCTAATTTCTCATTTTTGGATTTTTATTTTGTGGCTTTTCATTCTAATGTTTTTTTTTTTGGGGGAATTTATTCTGCCATTTACTTGTCGGTGAAGGAGATTCTTGTTTTGTCCATTACTATATTTCAAAGTAGGAGTTAAGAAAAGCTTCTTACTGTGAGATGTTTATGCATTTGAGATCAATTGAATAATTTGAATTTTTATGTATGGACCTGTTTTTGTGAGGATTATGATGCCAAATTTGTTTGTTTTTAACCTAGCGACACCGAAAAGGCTGTGAGGGAGAATGCGGGGTTGTGTTTTCAACGTTTTACTTGAATAACCTTTGAAATATGTGATTCATTGAACTCGTTTTTTCAGCATTTCTCTTAAATATTCAAGGATAGGTACGTAGGAAATGGGTTCTAGACTGGAAGGATTTTTTTGAAAATCATTCTCCCTGTGCCATGGTGCCATTTGCTGGATTATTTACATTGTTATTGATTGTTAAATTTGGAATTTCAGAGTGAACTTGTGCATGAAACTTGCTAGATGGACCGCATTATGTTAAACTTGTTACTGCTAATATAAATATTTAAAACTGCCTAGTCAAGCTTATGAAAAAATTATTCTCATGAGTTTTCAATATTAGGGAAAGATGGAGGACAGTGAATCCTGTTTAAAGGGTCCAAGAGTTTTTCAAAATTGTTGAAATTTACTAGAAACTTTATGGAATATCGAGAAAGCTGTAACTCAGTACGGTAGTTAACTGATTGCATGGGTTCACTAACTGTGACTTTCAGAAGAAGCAATTGTTTAAAAACTTAGTAGCCTTAAAGGGTGCACGATTTGTGAAAAGGAAGCCATTATTGAAACGTGGTAGCCTTCATTTGTCAGTTATGAGGCTTCCGGATTATCACTCTCAAAGATGGGGTAGATTGTTGTTATTTACCACGATCCTGATGGGTTAATCTTGTTGTTTTCATATACAATTGGTTGCTTGATTTGGATCAAAGATTGAGAGTTTAAGTTCTTAACATAGTGATTTCAGTATATTTTCATGGTAGAAAAGATTGGCTTTCTAGGTGACTTATGTATTCTGTAGCCGATCCTTGCAAATTAATTGGCTATGCATGTATTATCTCCATCCATCTATCTATTATGACGTCGAAGTATGTGTTTTCCAGGATGTAATACAAGCCGGTGCATATGTTTCTTTCTTTTGGCTTTTTTGTTTTTATTTTATTATTTCCTTATTTTGCCCCTAAGATTTTTCCCCCCCATTTCTTCCTTTATTGTTTGTGGAGTGTCATTCGGTTTATCCATCTCTTATGGCTTAAGTTTGTTCAAGGCAACATTTCCTACCTGTATTCTTCCATTTCGCTAGACATTTATTGGTTGTGCTTGACTATACTTGGACAGAGACACAAGTTCCAGCTCAAGTGAGATGACCGTTGAGGAAAGGAGGAAGCAGCAGAAGATTGAGGAGGCTTTGCATGCAAGCAGTCTTCGTGTTCCGCGGAGGCATGTAGCATCTCTCCATCAAATTGTTTTTCACCTTGTTTAGATCTTCTCACAATATTGATCTTTGTACAGGCCACCGTGGTATTCCAAAATGTCGGTGGAAGAGCTTGATGCTAATGAAAGACGAGCTTTTCTGATCTGGCGCCGCAGTCTTGCAAGGTGAGGTTAATTGGTCAGGGTTTTTTTTGTTGGCTGTGGGATATAACGGCCTACCTACTTCTGTTTTGCTTTGATTTTACTTCTTTACGCTAGGGCAATTATTTGGCTTATTCTGAACAATCTTTTGGAGAAAATTGAAAATGGTATTGGTAACTAGGTATAACAATTTACTTACAGAGTATAGAAAGACAACTATGGCATATAAAATCAATGCTTAAAGTCTTAATGCCTATCTTTGTTCACTCACATGGAAACAGATGCAAGTAAACCCAGAAACTTGATATAAAAAATTATGTCAAGTCAATGAAAATTTTTTATGAAAATTTATTAGTTACAACTTACATGAAGAGTTGGTGTTAATTTTTGTGAATACCTCAAGGGTGAAAGGAGCTTAGTTGTTGTTTTGTTTTTGGTTCTGCAGAAGATATCTTATGCTGAGTGTTATTCTAGTGGCTACTTAAGTGCAATTTTATTTCATAGTAAAGAGAATTATTCTTATGATTGAAGTCCTCTCTCTTTAGCTGATGTCTAGGTCATGAATAGCTGGCCTATGGCTTTATTGCAAAGTTTATCACAGAATTCAGAACATCAATGATTTACATATTATAAGTTTATTCTCAAAGTTTTCTTTTTCCCCATCTTTTCTTCTCTTATGGTACGCTGGTTCTGTTCACAGAACCTTATGTGGTCGATCAACTCCTCTAAAAAACTTCTGCAGGCATGTGGGGACAAGATCTCCTTTTGTCGTACATCAGATAGTATCTTCCTGATAGCATCAAGTTTAAATATGGCATAGGGAACACGGGAACACGTGGAAAAATTATAGTTAAGAAATATTCAAGAGTTCAATGTAATATCACTAGTGTCAACATTGTTTACGCGCTGAGAAACAAAACAGTGACAAGTGTTAAAATTATGTTCAACTTTTAATTCTACAAGGATGACACTTTGTTCAAATTCATGTTTTCTTTTTTTTTTTTAAAATAAAAATTGGATGGCCCCAGCCCCAGCGAGAATCGAACCCTCGACCTCCTGGTAATAACCGTCCCCTTTCCTAATCCCCTAACCAACCCACCCAACCCTACCACCCCTTGTTCAAATTCATGTTCTGCCTGAGTTGAGGATCCGAATGATGGTTCCTTCAAGAAGAAATATTCCTATGAAGATTGTTGGAAAGACATTTAGTTTGGTATTGCATTGAAATTCGCAATTATAACTTGTGCACTTTGCTGCATAAAAATAGTGCGAAAATCAAGTTCTGCATTATGAAAATTAATGCACTGGTTGTGCACCAATCAATTGCTCCTTCCTTTTTTTTTTTTTTTTCCCTCGATCCTTCATCACTAGCTCTTATATACATTGCTAGAGAGCAGGCTAGAGGAGAAAATTAATTAGATACCTTGGTTTCAAAGTTCGTGACAATAACGAAGTTTGTCTTTTAGCTGTTGCAAGTCTTCTAAGAAGTTTCTAATTTGTAAAGGGTTTGGACAATCTGTAGGCAATAGATTTCTGTACTAAAAGTACGGGTTCAGTATTTATGTTACTATTTCTATGAGCTTTAAATGATTGAGATTTATAGAGGATGTGTCTTCAGCGATTTATGGCCTGCATTAATATTACATTTTCTTGTGGTATGTCCTGGCCTCACTATTCATTTTCACTTCCATGACTTTTAGGATTTCTTTCATCCATTTTTCCTAAAATTCAAATGTGCAAACCAACCTCTTTTTTAGTGACTTGCTGCACTTTCATGAAGACCAGATCCTTAAAGCAATAATATTTCCTGGTGACTGGAGAATCGATTGTCATGTTGGACTGATCTCACTATTATGATGTTGAGAATTAGAGTTTAAAGGAAGGGGAATAGATTGTCAGCAGTTTGATGAAGGTGATTGACCATGAAGATGGGAAATGGATTAAGATATTCAGGCAGAAATCATATTAACTATTTTGGAAGGGTGGTCTCCTTTTTGTTTAACCTTTCAATTGTGGGCAAAAATAGAACGAACTGTGTTAGTTGTAGGTTTTATGAGTGAGGTGGCTCTATGATATTTCATATTCCAATTACTTTATTTAATTTTCACAATGCTTGTCTTCAACCACCGTAAAGTTGTAATAGTTTCCCATTTTCTTGCAAAGGGAAAACTATATCTATAAAGAGTTCCTTCATCTATTATTCCCTTCATATCCCATTTAAATAATATGTTCAATCTTTTACTTTCACTGACATATGCTCATTTTCATGAACGGTTTGTTGATTTACTTCTGTTTGACAGTTTTGGTTGTAATTGGTTAATGCTCTAATATTTTGATTGAATTATGCCATTGATGTTTAAGTTCTTTATGTTATTCATCTGTGCTTGTTGCTTTTTCAGACTTGAGGAAAATAAGATACTGGTGCTGACTCCATTCGAAAAGAATCTAGATATATGGAGGCAACTTTGGAGAGTGGTGGAACGAAGTGACTTGGTAATGTCTTGTGGTTTCATGAAAGTGAAACGAGTAGTTTTTATAAACTTTCGAGGACTATTATTTTGTTGCCTAGATTTGTGTGTACCTCTTTCAAATTTTTACCTCTTTCAAATTTTAGTTTCATTTGAATGAAATTATGTGTATTTGCATTTTAAATTTTAGATATGCACAGACCGCTAAAAACACAAAATTTCACCTAACGCGAGGATTTTGATTTGTTTGGGGGAGGGTGGGGTGTGTGGTGAAGATTTATACCTAGATAAAGACTATCTTACTACCTGCTAAGATATCTTAGCTGAATGTTCATGTGCATTGATTAAAAGACCAATCGCAAGTGGCTGTTTTAATATGTTTTGTTGCAATATCATCAAAATGAAATTGAAGTTATGGTGGAATGATATTCTCATTCTTTTTAAAACTAGGATTCTGGAGACTGATGGTAGGTGGGAAGATTTAGCTGTGTCCTTAGCTAATTTATATTGTGGTCTTCTCTCCAAAATAAACATGGCAATCACCACAGCTTTTTCCCCCTGCCAATGAAGGTGCTTCATTTTTTTATATTTTCTTTCCGTTCTTCTTTTAAACTTCTTCCATGTTTTTCCATCTCCAGCTTGTAATGGTAGTTGATGCGCGGAATCCACTCTTCTATCGCTGCCCTGATTTGGAGGTAATGTAAATTTTACACCTTTTATTAAGGGTCATTGTATTGTAACAACTTTATCAAATACTCCTTCCTGTTTGGATGATCTCTGAACTGCGGCCACCTGCTTTTACTTGTCATCATTTTCGCTTTTCATTATTGTGATTAAGAGCTTCGAGTAATAGACAGAACATAAATTGGGTAACCAGAAGTTGATATTCTTTGTGTTTCGTCTTACTGGAGGCAACGTCTCAATCTTGAATGCAGGCATATGCACGAGAGGTTGATCAACACAAAAGGACATTGCTTCTTGTCAACAAGGCAGATCTTTTACCTTTTTCTCTCAGGTGAGCATCTTTGCTTTCTGCTGTAGCCTTTTGGCTTTACTTTTGTGTATGCAACTCACAAGTGTTGTGACATGGCTTTTTCAACAGAGAGAAATGGGCACAATATTTTCGCGAACATGGGATTCTCTTCATATTCTGGTCAGCTAAGGCTGCTACTGCAGCTCTTGAAGGGAAGATTATGAGCACCTCCGATGCTCAGCTAGAATCTGCTGATTCGGATACAAAAATATATGGCAGGCAGGAGCTATTGGCCCGTCTACAAAGTGAAGCTGAAGCAATTGTTGCCATGAGAAATCAATCACGCTCCAGTAACAGTGGCCCATCTGATGGTTATTCTGCTGAAGAGAATGCAAGTGAAGATGCAACAGTAAAGAGTGTTATGGTGGGATTTGTGGGCTATCCCAATGTTGGGAAGAGTTCAACCATAAATGCTTTGGTAGGGGAAAAACGAACAGGTGTAACATCAACTCCGGGGAAGACGAAGCACTTCCAAACACTAATAATATCTGATAAGCTGACGTTATGTGATTGCCCTGGATTAGTTTTCCCATCTTTTACGAGCTCAAGATATGAGATGATTGCTTCCGGCGTATTACCAGTTGATCGGATGACTGAGCATAGGGAAGCTGTGCAGGTTGTGGCAAATCGAGTCCCTAGACAAGTTATTGAACAAGTCTACAATATCTCATTGCCAAAGCCAAAACCGTACGAATCAGAAACACGGCCCCCTCTTGCATCTGAGCTCTTGAGAGCATATTGTGCATCCCGTGGTTATGTTGCTTCAAGTGGTTTGCCAGATGAAACGAGAGCTGCTCGGCAGATTCTGAAGGATTACATTGATGGCAAGTTGCCTCACTTTGAGCTTCCCCCAGGAACCTCTAATGAGGAAGCTGCTATAGGAAATGCTGGAGCCAGCTTGTCTGAATCAGAGGAGTCAGATGCTTCTGATGTTGAAAACCCGTCAGTCAGTGAACGGGAAGGCGGCCCTGAAATAGATCGTGTCCTGGATGACTTGGATTCGTTTGACATGGCAAACGGTCTCCCTTCCATCCGGGGAGAAGTGAAGAAGAAGAAGCCCGCTGGTGCAACTCACAAGCAACACAAGAAACCACAAAGAAAGAAAGACCGTTCGTGGAGGGTCAGAAATGGTGAAGATGATGGAATGCCGGCAGTGAGGGTGTTCCAGAAGCCTGTTAATACCGGCCCTTTAAAGCCTTAAAGGGTTGGGATTACAACATGGAAGTCTATCATCTTTGATTCCTTGTAGTCCGTTATCTGGCTGCTGCCAAGGTTTGCCTCGTCATGAGAGGATTAGAGCAAGGTATCCAGTGAAGTCCCTGTATCAAAATGACCACGTTTGCAATTTAAATAGAGGAGCTCACGAACCTTTCTTTCTTGGTATCAAGTCTTACATTGTGCAACAGGAATCACTTGGAGGTATATGGTGTATCAAAATATGGTTGAAATAACTTATCCCAGATAATCAACCTTTTGGCCCTCTTAATCTTGGAAGGGAAACACAGAGAAGAAAAATGGCTCCAGAGGCTTGCCTTTGTTTACATGAGCTTACTGAAGGCACTAGAGATTTTTTAAAATTATATTGTAGTGGTGGGTGCATATTTCATAAAGAAGGCGTTAATTTTTTTGTTATCCTTTCTCATCCATCATCCCCTTCATCTTCTGTTATCAAGAATGAATCACTGTTGGTTTTTCATTTTTCCCATTTTCGAGTACGCGAGTCTGGTGGGTGAAACGATGAAGTATAATTTATTATTTACTTATTTTCTAATTATTTTTTAATGGAAGAGTAATTTTAGTATATTCATTAAAGTACTTTCTTAAGGATTGAAATGAATGAAAATACAACCATATAGTGAAATATGATTAATCCGGGGAAGTCTCAGGAACCGATCGCCAAGTTCTCTTTACCTTTTTGAGTCAATAACTTCAGTTCATTAATGATTTAAATGCAGTAGCCCACAAAATCATCATCACCATCATCATCATCATCATCATGTATGAGAATCCTCTCAACATTTCTTGTGTAATACAAAGAATTAGTATATGGACTCCACAATATGTGGAAAAACAATCACTCCAATTATCAAGGTACTTCTTGTCCTGAATCCACCATTCCACGCGAACATCTCATACCTCAAATTATAAAGCTTTTTCATCTTTTTCTCCTAATAAAAAAGGAAGACCAATTTGCAGAAATAAAACATCAGGGACACCAGAGTGGGCAGACAAATAAACACTCGCCATAGGGTGTTAATTCTGACATTGAGTTTGCTAGTAATTTGATGTGAATTCTGCGGTGTTAAATGAACTCACCCTGACATTTTTATGAAACATTGAGCAATACTCTTTCTTCCTAGCAAAATCAACAGTGCAAAATAACAAAGGAAATATTAAAGCTTGATTCCGTTGCTAAAGGGAACAAAAGTCAGTGAAGACAACTTACCAGCCTTCAGTGCAGTTATCAATCTGATGAGTTGTCATCAATGGAATAGCTAATCCTAATGCACGAGTAGCAAACATCCCTGAAAACAACAAGAAACCATCTGATGGATGATTTGAGAATGATATATTATTTCAAATTTGGTATATTTCAACCAATAAAAAAAATCTTTCTTTGACAATGAAATCAACAATTCACATTCTTTTTTCGGGTCCACTGGGGTGGATTTTTAAAGAAAAAACAAGAAAAAATATATAATGAGTATACTATATTTATTTATTTAGAAGAGGACAAACATGAGTTCAGATATAAAGTAACTGTAGAAGAAACTTGAACAAATTACATCATGAAAAGTTCCATGTTTTTTTAATGAAACTAGAGTAGCGAAAGCCACCACACACATGCATGCCTAATGCCCCAAAATTATTTTCACAGTTTACATTTTCACTTGTATTACAATTTGTACTAAAAAAAATAAGATTCCAAACTAGATAATCATTTTGGGATAGAGGGAGTATAAATTTGAACAAAACCTAACCCTGTGGACATTTGAGATTAGTTTCGCCTTCCACCAATGGCTACGGCAAGTTCCAGCTCCGGGGAGTTGGTCGTCACAATCATAATCAACATCACCATCATCAAAAAAAGTCAAAATCAGAATCATAATCGCGTCCCACGTCACGAGGGCAAGATACTTTGGGGAGTTGGCCATCGATGTCAAATCTCCTAAATTGTGGTTCTTCTCCTTCAGGACCATTCAGGGGGGAGCTTACAAGAGATCAAGCCGCCAGCAGGACAGTGTAATATGAGGTGTTCATCATTCCAACAAGTCATATGTTTCCATTTCCATGGTGGGAGATTAATACGTGAAAATGGTTTAACACAACATTTGCTTGTCCATGAACCCACACATCAAAAGCGAAAGCAGAAGTTCCTTTTCCAGCTATTGGGTAATATGCCCTTCTGAAAATAAGAGCAAGGTCATCCCCAAGACCGTAAGAATCGAATCCATGGCACAGGGATCTATTTGATAAGGAAGCCCTAGCCTTCCAAATACCTCAGCATGGATATAAGCACCAGCGAGGGTTTCCTTGAACCAGTGAATGAAACGATTAAAAAAATACTCCAGAACCAGCACCAATGATGGATATAACACGACTGATCTCAGAGTTGTTGTCTTGGTACTGAATCATGTTCCAAGAGTTGGCACTCCGTCGGTAGACTTCAGCAAATTTTATTGTGGAAGTATCAACATATCGTCCACTGCTTGCATTCGCGTACAGGCAGCGGCTTCCCAGCATCCTGATGACCTTGCATTCCCAAATCCCAACTCGACCCCCTCAAGTTTTTCACCTGGGAACAAGTACGTCCAAGTAGGAAGCCGAAAACACTCCCTGGCGGAACCGACTACTCAGACTTGGAGGGGCTTACTATATATACATAATCAAGATCTATAGTCGAATATATATGACATAAGGTTAACAATGACTACTATTAAGGGGAGTTCTGGACGGCCGGAGGGGCTCGATACCCCGAGCCCCTTAAGAGTTCCGCCCAGTGACTGGATTATAGAGACAAATTATTCCGCGCACAATCTCTGAAAAGCAAAGAAACCCATTGCACGATCCACCAGCGCATAATTTGAGATATATGTTTTCATCGTACGGTAGTTTTAGACCATACAGCGCAGCACGGAAACATAAAGAATCCCCATCAATCTCCGTTTTCTTCTTCATCTGGTCGTAGGTTGACAATAGCAAGTCTTGGTTTGAATCAACGCCCCGGCATACTGGCAGGTATTCCTCCAGTCACGCATCTAGAGGTATACCGTACTATTGTGATGGTTGTTCTCATGAAGATGGCGATTCACAAAACAAGGGCTCCAGATTACGGACTTCAGTGTCTTACAAACGCAACTTAATCTCAGCAGATACTTAACCGGCAACCTCATCAAAATCTCAATTAAAACTTTTTCCGGCAACAAATCCATCTCTTACATAGGTATACTCCTATAAAAGTGTTGAAATCACAAGAATTTCAGAACGATTGGAGTATATATATATATATATATATATATATATATATATATATATATATATCAATAACTAAACTGGAAAACTTATATGTAGTTGATATCTGAGATCTATCTGCCCCAAAAACGAACTCCGGGAGAGGAAGAATGAAACCCTTTCTCAAAAGATAACCACTAAAGAAGCCCATGAGTTGCACCTCAAAACCAATTGGCAATGAGTGGAGTAGCTCATGAAGCTTATATATTGATATTCAAAGTCTCCCAATACCGATGTGGGATTAGAACTCTTTAATACTCTCCCGCAAGTCCAAAGTATTTTTTAGGGTTGGGCTTGTCCTATTTTTTTAGCCTAGGCACCGCCTCACGTCTCAGCCCTATTTTTTTGTTGGGCTTTTTTGGAGTCCGGATATTGGCGGGCTGGCTCTTATACTATATAGGAAGTTGTAATGTGTTGTAATTAGCCCGTTAGGAGTAATGGGTACGTGAAAGATCGGACAATTTCCTATTGGGGTTTAGGAAGTTAGTCGGAAATATTTTCATTATTTTTTTAATTTTTTTTTAAATCTGATCAAAAACTTGTAGGAACCATATTCCATTAAGTAATCAATAAAAAAAACACTTAAAGGAAAATTGAATCGGACCATTAAATTTTTAAAAATTCTGTTAAAGTGACTAAAATTGTTAAGAAAAAAGATATTTGCGGAGTGATTTTGTTGTTTGAAAATACATTGCGGGTCTTAATTTAGTAAATATTAATAAAAAATAAAAAGAAATTAACGAAAAAAGAGTTGACCATTAGTTGACCTGTTGACTAAAATTGTTGAATAAACGAAAATGTGGTGACTAATTTTGTCAATAAAAAATTAATGGTGATCAAAAGTTGTGACCTCTCATAGTTCAGAGACCAAAAAATGCTTTTTGTCTATTTATAAATCTATAAATCAACAAAACCAAAAAGAGAGAATACTTTACATTGCATGATTTCGTATACTGAAATTTATTCCAAATATACTTAAAATAAGAAAACACATTGACATTGAAAATATTACACAGTTGATTTTCTTCTTTTTTTTTGGAAAAATTGTAATTTATGTCATTAATATTATTATTATTATTTTTATTTTTTACATATATCACTTCGTAGGAAATATATAATCGTTAGATTATTAAACTCATATATATTTTGTGCAGGATAAACACTAGTATCTATTAAAGAAGTGTTTTTAATCGGACACATGACGTATAATTAGATAGGATAATCCACATAGCGAAAAATTAGATAGCCAAGTTCATATGTCGCAATCACATCACTCCACCATTTAATGCTAATTTTTTTTATAAATTCGTAAAAATTTATAAATAATCAACTTTATTATATTTGTGTGAGAGACTAAGTATTAAATTTAAATATAATCCAATGTCATTATCAAATAACATAACTTTACACAAAGAAAATCATAAAAAATAAGTATTTAATTAATTTATCCCTTATAACATCAGCATTAATTTCTCAATATGATATAATAGTCGAAAAATTTATTTTTATGATGATAAAGCAAAATGTAGGAATCAATAGGTAATCATTGCAAAACGTGAACTCTAAAATTCAAAACCCTGATTTACAATAAAAATATTCCTAAACAATTAAATAATTAATAATTAATATTAAATAATATTCCACTAGAGATTGTAATTATTTTTTTGATACAGTTTATGCATCATCAGGGAAATTGATTCGTTCAATTATTTTGGTTTGATGATTTTTTTAATTTATAAATTCGTAAAATCTGTAAATAACCAATTTAACCTGATTAAATTTTTTGTCAGTAACAGCGAAAATGATTACCACTATAATAAATTCCAGTCTTTTCTTTATATAGTGACCATAATGATATAACCATAACGATGATGGGTTGGTAATCATTAATAAATTTAATTCCATTCACGTTGTGTGGTGGAATAAGTATTAGATTTAAACATAATTAAATATCAGTATGAAATAAGATAAGTTTAAGAAAAAAAATTGTAAAAAAAAAAGCATTTAAATAAATTTATCCCTTATAAGATTAATACGTCTAGATAAAACAGGAAACAATACGATGTATATTTTTGGTTGCTCAAAATTAAATTTTTTTTCATCGTAATTAGAGAATTAATACTCCATACGTCCATACAGGTGCTATATAGTTATTTATGTTGATTTGCCTTTTTCTTTGCAAATGATAATAAAACAAAACTTAAAGACCAATAGGGAGAAAGTTTTTCAAAATAAGAAAAATTAAAAGCTATTTGAGAGAGACAAAAGTATATTGAGAAATTGAAAATAAT